AATAACCCGGTGGGCAGCTGGAGCAAGAGCACAGCTTTAGGTCGGGCGTTTGCCTTGCACATGGCCGACCCGGGTTCGATTCCTCCGCCCCTCTCAGAGAGCCCGGCCAGCTACAGGGAGTATCCCGCCCACACGGCAGAGCCTGGCAAGCTCCCCGTGACGTATTCGATATGCCAGACACAGTAACAACAAGTCTCACAATGGAGACGTTACTGGTGCCCGCTCGAGCAAATCGATGAACAACAGGAGGACAGTGCTACAGTGCTTTTTTGTTTTTGGGTCACACCCAGTGATGCTCAGGGGTCAGGGGTTACTCCTGGATCTGCACTCAGGAATTACTCCTGGTGGTGCTCGGGGGACCCTACGGGATGCTGGGAATCGAACCCGGGTCAGCCATCTGCAAGGCAGACACCCTCCCCGCGGTGCTATAGCTCCAGCCCCGGGGATGGCTTTTGCTGGCCTCTGGAGGGTCCCTACCGCCCCGTCCCAGCGTTAGATGGGAAGGCGTCCTGGGCAGACCACGGGGACAGGGGCCCTCCACCTGGCAGCATTATTCACCCCCGGCCTTTCAGAGGCCTCCGTGTCCAGCCCAGGCCTGGGAAGCTCGGTGGGCGATGATTAATGCAAGGAAAATTGAGCCGGCAGGAATGACAAGTTGGGCGAAGTTTCTGGGGCTGGCGGGCTCACCCGGAGCGTCTCCGCCAGCCTGGAGCGCCACCTAGTGGTGGCAGGGTTGATGGCACCTCCGGCTCCGTAGCCCGAGTTGCCCTGCGCCTGGGCAGTGCTCACACCCTGGGGACCTTCCCTGGCCCCCAGGGGACAGCCCACTTCTCCCCGCGCAGGACCCCACCCCCCACCGCCAGACCAGGCCTGACTTGGGCAGGTCCCCACATTTTTGTTTGTTTTCTTTTTTAGTTTTTATTTTATAAGGTAAAGGTCGATTTGCTCGAGCGGGCCCAGTAACGTCTCCGTTGGAGACTTTGTTGTTACTGTGTTTGGCATATCGAATACGTCACGGGGAGCTTGCCAGGCTCTGCCGTGCGGGCGAGATACTCTCGGTAGCTTGCCGGGCTCTCCGAGAGGGGCGGAGGTTTTATAAGGTAGTTCACAATATTTGATTATGTTTAATACTCAAACACCAATCCCATCACCCTGACACCTTCCCACCATCATATTTGGGATGTTTCCCCAATCCCTGTCCTAAAGCACAACCGAAATAACATATTCTGTATTGTCTGTTACGAAAAACTGCTGAAAGTGCTATCAAAAAAGTATCCATAAGCTCAGATAGAGAAGAGAGCACCAAATAAAGGGTGTTGGGAGGATCCTCCCAGGGCGGGAGAAGCATGCTGAAAGTAGACTATAGACCAAACATGGTTGCCACTCAGTGCCTCTCTTGCAAACCACAGGACCCAAAAGGAGAGAGAGAGAACAAAAGGGAATGCCCTGTCACAGAGGCAGGGTGGGGTGGGGGGACGGGCGGTGGGAGGGATACTGGGATCCGCGGTGGTGGGAAATGGGCACTGGTGGAGGGATGGGTACTCGATCATTGTATAACTGAAACCCAAGCACAAAAATTTATAAGTCTTTAACTGTACCTCATGGTATTTCACTAATAAAATAAATAAATAAATGGACCAAAAAAAAAGTATTCGTAGAGGAAACAGTGTGAAGATTGTTCTGTTTTGGCAGGGGCCATTAAGACCTTCTTCAGGGTATCACTAACATATTGTTAAAGGTTGAGTGATGTGGGGCTGGAGTGATAGCACAGCGGGTAGGGCGTTTGCCTTGCACGCGGCCGACCCGGGTTCGATCCCCAGCATCTCATATGGTCCCCCGAGCACCGCCAGGAGTGATTCCTGAGCGCATGAGCCAGGAGTAACCCCTGTGCATCACCGGGTGTGACCCAAAAAAAAAGCAAAAAAAAAAATTTAAAGGTTGAGTGATGTGAGCTTATATATATATATATATATATCCCTCTGTGATTGGTTGCCTGCTATTTGAACCCCATAAGATGGTGGCACTTATGAAGAATGGGTAGTGAGTGTCTTGCGGTGTGTCGCACGGCCACATTTGGGGTCCAGGAATACGTTCACTTGTGCATGAGGCTCGGCCTGAGCCTCAGGTGGGAAGCGGCCTTGAAAGTGGCGGCGGTTGCGTTGTGGAGCTTTTCGGCTGCGGGGCTGGGTCCTTTGGGGCGGGGAGGGCTCTCACCCGCCCCCCCATCTGGGGCGCCCCGAGGGAAACAGCCTGGCGCGGAGCCCAGTGGTGGCAGGGCTGTGGCGGGCATCCTGTTGCTCCCTCCCGCGAGGAAAAAGCCATGTGGTCTGGATGTAGATTCCCACACTCGTCTTCCAACCGCACCTGGACTCCTCTTTCTGCTTTTCCTCTTTCCAGACTCCCCCGCCTTCTGGAAAGTTCCGCTCACAGCACTGTCAGAGACTTGATTCCCCCCCAACCCCCCTACCCCCCACTGACCCTGCTCCCAGGGCACCCCACACTCCTCTGCCATCGCTTCCCAGAGCAGCTGGCCACGGTGACACTGGTCCTCAGGCAGAGTGACCCGCTGACCGAACTCATCCTCTTCCCTCTGGATCCCGTCACCTCCTCTGTCCCCACAGCCCACCCTGAGCTGTCTGCTGTGCCCCCTGCCGCCCCTTCCCTTCACACTCCTGTCACCTGGCGGGGTTGGTTGCCTGTTCCCCCTTGGGCCACCTCCCTCATGACTTTTGCTCTTGCTGTTCCTTCTAGAACATTCTCTCCCCGCCTCCTGCCAGTTATTTGCTTGATTTGTTTATCTTAGGGGTGGGGGTGGCACAACTCTCTGTGATGCTCAGGGCTTCCTCCTGCCTCTGCACTCAGGGCTCACTCCTGGGTCCAGTGCTCTGGGAGACCGGGGATCGAACCTGGGCTGACACAGGCACGCACAGTCCCTGCTAGACGCTCTCTCCGGCTCTCTTCACCTGCTTATATCCACGGCTCATTCTGCTCTTCCCCGTGGATCCCTCCTCAGTTGCGTCTCGGTGGGAGGCCTGGCCTGGCTCCGGGCCCCAGTGGCTCTCTCCCTCCTCCCTGGCCTGCGTGGACCCCACCACCACCTGGGGCCAGTGTGCCGCGGCCGTCCCAGGTGTTCAATTGTACTGGTGGGCTGAGGCCGGAATGCATCGCCGTCCCCTGGGAGCGCCCTGCACCCCCCATGCCCCATCTTCCTCTCTGCATCCACCTTTGCTGTCACTCGGGGTCTCTGCTGCAGGAAGGTGAGGGGCTTGAGAGCAGGCCTGGGCTCGCTTTGTGGGGGTGTCAGCACGGATAAGCCCCGGAAGTGCCCCCATCATCGGAGACCAGACCAGAGCCTGGTGCCGGGCCCCCCACTGCCCATCACTGAAACTCGCTACACCCTGAAAGGCAGGAGAGGGGTGGGGAGACCCTGTGTGGAATGTTCTCAGCCTCCTCCTGTCCCGGGCCCCCCGGGAGGCAGTTGCTCTCAGAGGCGCTGGAAGGGTCTTTCTCTAAAGTGTTGTAGCATTGAGTGCCCATCATTGGGTCTGTAGTCCACTTTCAGCATGACCACTCAATACCTCTCCTGCAAACCACAACACCCCAAAGGGGAGACAGCAGAACGGCATGCCCTGCCACAGAGGCAGGGTGGGGTGGGGGGATGGGGTGGGAGGATGGGAGGGCTACTGGGATCATTGGTGGTGGACAATGGGCACTGGTGGAGGGATGGGTACTAGACCGACCATTGTATGACTGAAAGGCAAGCACGAAAGTGTGTCAGTCTGTAACTGTACCTCACGGTGATTCATTAAAAAGAAATAGATTTAAAAAAAAAGAAATGACCACTTTTATGGTGACATATAACTAGATACTTTTTCCAACTGTAATTCATTGAATAGATGATTAATTATAATAATTGCAAAATAATAAAAATTATAGCACACGGTAGGGTGTTTGCCTTGCATGAAGCCGGGCCTGGCCAAGCCGGGGTCGATTCCTCCGCCCCTCTCGGAGAGCCCGGCAAGCTACCGAGGGTATCTCACCCGCACGACAAAGCCTGGCAAGCTCCCTGTGACGTATTCGATATGCCAAGCACAGTAACAACAAGTCTCACAATGGAGACGTTACTGGGCCTGCTCGAGCAAATCAATGAACAATGGGATGCCAGTGCTACAGTGCTGCTCTAAAAAAAATAAAATAAAGTGCTGTGGCAGTGAGCTGTAGCTTCTCAGTAAATCTGGGGTTTGGTGGGGGGCAGCTGAACCTGATGGGGGGCCGGCGTGTCCCTGGGGGGGGCAGAATGCCAGGCGGCTGTGCACCCCTGGGACACCAGATGAGGTGGATGGGGGGGGGTTGTCAGCATTTATTCCTGGTGCTGCCTTAGCAGGGTGAGGGCAGTGGGGGCAGAGATGGGGCATCCCCCTCCCCAGCCAGCCCCAGAGCCCCTCCTGGGGACCGTGAGCAAGTACAAGAAAGGCGGCCGGGGCGCGGGGCAAGGGAAATTTTGGGTTTCTGATATTTTACTAATTATGTCTGGAGGGATTTCTGCCAAAAGCTGCGTAGTTCCGAGATTGGTTTGTGTGCCTCTGGGGCCATGGCCGTGCTGGACATCCGTTGGAGCCATTGGAACCTCATGGGGATTCTGTTCTTCACTGTGGCCTCGGCCAACCCTGTTTCTTGGTGGTGGTTTTTTGGGTCACACCCGTGATGCTCAGGGGTTCCTCCTGGCCCTGCACTCCAAGCCGTGCTCAGGGGACCTTCAGAGATGCGGGGGATCGAACCCAGGGGGGCCGCGTGCAAGGCACACTCCCTGCCCTCTGGACTCTCTCTGGTCCCTGTTTCCAAGTTTCTCAACCTTGTTTGCCTCCTCTGGGGAGAGAAGTCCTGGGACCCTTTCTGCCTGCCCGGCCGTGCTGGCCCGGGAGGGAATCCCATCTCCCCCACCTGGAACCCCGCCCCGGAACGACCTGCCTGACGGTTCTCCTCTCTCTCTCTCTCTGCAGCTCTGCGGCTGCGGGCTGCTGGGCGTGGGCATCTGGCTCTCGGTGTCCCAGGGCGACTTCGCCACCTTCTCCCCCAGCTTCCCTTCGCTGTCAGCCGCCAACCTGGTCATCGCCATCGGCACCATCGTCATGGTGACCGGCTTCCTGGGCTGCCTGGGGGCCATCAAGGAAAACAAGTGCCTCCTTCTTAGTGTAAGTCAGACCCCGACACTCCCATCCCCCCCACAGACTCTGTCCCCAGGGATAGGCAAGGCCCAGGGCTGTACGCTGACCCGGCCGCCCAGTCCAAAACCAGTGGGGGAAATTGCTTCTAGAATGTTCTAGAATGTTCCTTGCCTGACCACACCCCCTTTTCCTCCTGATGGGATCACCCCTGCCCTCTATGTCCCTCCTCCTCCTCCTCTCCTCACTGGTGGCCACCCGTGGACCCCACTTGCCCCTGCCCCTGCCACGGTCACCTGCCCACACCCGGCCCTTGCCTTTGCAGTTTTTCATTGTCCTGTTGGTCATCCTTCTGGCCGAGCTGATCTTACTGATCCTCTTCTTCGTCTACATGGACAAGGTGAGCCCTCCAGGGCAGGGCTGGGGGCTGTGCTGGGCGGGGCGGAGGACCAGCAGTGGGAAGGCCATTGGAGCCTGGGGGTGGGAGTGGGTATTCACTCGTCCCTCAGGGAGTTTGAGAAAGGGGACTCCCGAGTTCCTGGGGGTGCAGCTCAGACCTCAGGCCTCAGGAACTCCTCGTCCCCCCGAGTACTCCCGGAGTTCCCCACAGTACTCCCAGAGAGTGCTCAAGTGCTGGAGTGCCCAGGCCTATTGAAGTGTCAGCCCCTGGGAATTCCGAGCAGGTTCCGAGGTGGCTGTGGGGAGACCCCGCAGTTGAGCCCACCCTCCGTCTCTTCCCCGAGACTTTAGAGGCCAGGGCGGCTGCTGGGGATGTGAGGAGGGTGACCCCACTGGCCCTTTCAGGCCAGACGGTTGGAGAACCTTCTGGTCGCTGCTCTCAAGCTAGACTGGAGAGCACTATCTCACGGGCGCTTTTGCGGCCGGACCCCCAGAACCATGTGACTGTGTTTGGGGGTTCCTGAAGGGGAGGCCCTGCCTACACCGACTGGTGGGGTTTTTCTTGGGTCTGGATGCGGGGCTCCTTCGCACGGGGGAAAGGGAAGGGTCTTGAGGTTCTTGGCCGGATACAGGAAGCGTTATCCAGTGGCCCTGAGCGCAATAGTGTTTCCAGCAGCAAAAAGCACTGCAGGCAGCTGGGGTCAGTCTCTCTGGCTGGGGGGGACCTGGGATAGAGGGATGGGGGTGGCCCCTCCACTCCCAGCCCCAGGGGCCAGCCCCAGGCAGCCAGGGCTCAGCCCGCAGCTCCAGTGGACGTGGGGCCGGGTGGGTGGGGCCGGAGGAGCCGGTCCTCCTGGTGCGAAGTGACCCCTGGTGCCCTCTCCCCGGGGACAGGTGAACGAGAACGCCAGGAAGGACCTGAAGGAGGGGCTGCTGCTGTACAACACGGAGAACAACGTGGGGCTCAAGAACGCCTGGAACATCATCCAGGCCGAGGTGGGTCGCCGGGAGGCGCTGATCCAGGATCCCACAGGCAGGCTGGGAAGGGGCTCGCAGCGGCCAGCAGGGGGCGAGCGAGAGTCAGAGCGTTGATGGTCCCCAGGAGCTTGGGAGGTGTGTTGGTTTTTGTTTTCGCTTTTTCTCTTTAGTTTTTTTTTTTTTTTTTTTTTGGTGGGGGGACCAGACCCAGCAGTGCCCCGGAATGATTCCTTATCGGGACTCGGGGAACCATATGGGATGTGGGGGCAAACTGAATCCAGTTTGGCCCTGTTGCACGGCCAACAGCTTGCCCGATGTGCTATCCGCTCTATTTCTGTTTTTATTTATTTATTTGCTTTTTGGGTCACACCTGTCGATGCACAGGGGTTACTCCTGGCTCTGCACTTAGGAATTACCCCTGGCAGTGCTCGGGGGACCATATGGGGAGCCGGGGATTGTACCTTGGTTGGCTGTGTGTAAGGCAAGCACCCCACCCATGGTAATATCGAGAAGCTTTGTTGGTGTTTCTTTACTGGGGGAAGTCCACACCCAGCGGTGCCCAGAGGTTACTCCTGGCTCTGCACTCAGGAATCATTTCTAGCAGTGCTTGGAGGGGCCTTATGGGATGCTGGGGATGGAACCCGGGTCAGTGGCTTGTAAGGCAAACGCCCTCTCCACTACGGTGGCCAAGCTTTGACTTTAGCAACAGACCTGCCCCCTGGTCAGGGTTGGACAAGGAGGCACTGATTCGAGATGAAAGCCAATCAGGAAACGGGCCCCCAGGGTAACCCCTGATGGTGGTGGGTTATGTGGGCACGTCTGGCCATGTGCTCTGCAGCCTGGGCAGCACCGGCTGGCCGCCTTCCCCGCAGCACCCCCTCCAGGCAGGAGCCCACCCCTCCCTCCCGCCCAGTGGGCAGAGGCTCCTCCTGTTTGTCCCCTGGGCTGGACTCCAGGGGAGCACCGCAGGGGAGCGGCCGGGCGGAAGGGCAGGGCCTGCAGGAGGAGTCCAGGGTCCCAGGCGCCGCTAACAGGCCCACCTGCCCGCCCGCCCGCCCCACAGATGCGCTGCTGCGGCGTCACGGATTACACGGACTGGTACCCGGTGCTGGGCGACAACACGGTCCCCGACCGCTGCTGCATGGAGAACTCGCAGGGCTGCGGGCGTAACACCACCACGTTGTGGTGGAAGACGGTGAGGCCCTGGGGGTGGGCCCGGGGGAATGGGGGACGGTGGGGGTAAGGAGGAGGCAGCTGGACTGCAGTTGGGGGTCTGAGGGTGGGTCGGAGGCAGTGCCGTGAGGCCGGGTAGTGGGGAGCCCCGGGTGGGGCGGCGCAGGACCCGGGGAAGTGAGGTGGGGTCCGGGTAGGGGGGCTGGAGGGCATGCTGGGGCCTTACCCTGTTGCCTTTCTCCCCAGGGCTGCTATGAGAAGGTGAAGATGTGGTTTGATGACAATAAGCACGTGCTCGGCACTGTGGGAATGTGCATCCTCATTATGCAGGTAAGGGGCGGAGCTGAGGCAGATGGCCCCACCCCCAGACAGGCCCCGCCCCATAAAGCCGCGCCTCCAGACACGCCCTGGACAGGCTCCGCCCCCAAAGGTCCCGCTTCCAGACATGCCCCAGAAGGCCCCGCCTTCAGACACGCCCCCTACATGCCCCACCCCAGAAAGCCCTGCCTCTAGACACGCCCCCTACAGGCCCATCCCAGAAGGCCCCGTCTCCAGGCACGCCCCTGAAAGCCCCGTCCCAGAAGGCCCCGCCTCCAGACACGCCCCTGAAAGGCCCGTCCCAGAAGGCCCCGCCTCCAGACACGCCCCTGAAAGGCCCGTCTCAGAAGGCCCCGCCAGCAGACACGCCCCTGAAAGGCCCGTCTCAGAAGGCCCCGCCTCCAGACACGACCCTGAAAGGCCCGTCTCAGAAGGCCCCGCCTCCAGACACGACCCTGAAAGGCCCGTCCCAGAAGGCCCCGCCTCCAGACACGCCCCTGAAAGGCCCGTCTCAGAAGGCCCCGCCTCCAGACACGCCCCTGAAAGGCCCGTCCCAGAAGGCCCCGCCTCCAGACACGCCCCTGAAAGGCCCGTCCCAGAAGGCCCCGCCTCCAGACACGCCCCTGAAAGGCCCGTCCCAGAAGGCCCCGCCTCCAGACACGCCCCTGAAAGGCCCGTCCCAGAAGGCCCCGCCTGCAGACACGTCCCTGAAAGGCCCGTCTCAGAAGGCCCCGCCTCCAGACACGCCCCTGAAAGGCCCGTCTCAGAAGGCCCCGCCTCCAGACACGCCCCTGAAAGGCCCATCCCAGAAGGCCCCGCCTCCAGACACGCCCCTGAAAGGCCCGTCTCAGAAGGCCCCGCCTCCAGACACGCCCCTGAAAGGCCCGTCCCAGAAGGCCCCGCCTCCAGACACGCCCCTGAAAGGCCCGTCTCAGAAGGCCCCGCCTCCAGACACGCCCCTGAAAGGCCCGTCCCAGAAGGCCCCGCCTCCAGACACGCCCCTGAAAGGCCCGTCTCAGAAGGCCCCGCCTCCAGACACGCCCCTGAAAGGCCCGTCCCAGAAGGCCCCGCCTCCAGACACGCCCCTGAAAGGCCCGTCCCAGAAGGCCCCGCCTCCAGACACGACCCTGAAAGGCCCGTCTCAGAAGGCCCCGCCTCCAGACACGCCCCTGAAAGGCCCGTCCCAGAAGGCCCCGCCTCCGGACACGCCCCTGAAAGGCCCGTCTCAGAAGGCCCCGCCTCCAGACACGCCCCTGAAAGGCCCGTCTCAGAAGGCCCCGCCAGCAGACACGCCCCTGAAAGGCCCGTCTCAGAAGGCCCCGCCTCCAGACACGACCCTGAAAGGCCCGTCTCAGAAGGCCCCGCCTCCAGACACGCCCCTGAAAGGCCCGTCCCAGAAGGCCCCGCCTCCAGACACGCCCCTGAAAGGCCCGTCTCAGAAGGCCCCGCCTCCAGACACGCCCCTGAAAGGCCCTTCCCAGAAGGCCCCGCCTCCAGACACGCCCCTGAAAGGCCCGTCTCAGAAGGCCCCGCCTCCAGACACGCCCCTGAAAGGCCCGTCCCAGAAGGCCCCGCCTCCAGACACGCCCCTGAAAGGCCCGTCCCAGAAGGCCCCGCCTGCAGACACGTCCCTGAAAGGCCCGTCTCAGAAGGCCCCGCCTCCAGACACGCCCCTGAAAGGCCCGTCTCAGAAGGCCCCGCCTCCAGACACGCCCCTGAAAGGCCCGTCCCAGAAGGCCCCGCCTCCAGACACGCCCCTGAAAGGCCCGTCTCAGAAGGCCCCGCCTCCAGACACGCCCCTGAAAGGCCCGTCCCAGAAGGCCCCGCCTCCAGACACGCCCCTGAAAGGCCCGTCTCAGAAGGCCCCGCCTCCAGACACGCCCCTGAAAGGCCCGTCCCAGAAGGCCCCGCCTCCAGACACGCCCCTGAAAGGCCCGTCTCAGAAGGCCCCGCCTGCAGACACGTCCCTGAAAGGCCCGTCCCAGAAGGCCCCGCCTCCAGACACGCCCCTGAAAGGCCTGTCCCAGAAGGCCCCGCCTCCAGACACGCCCCTGAAAGGCCCGTCTCAGAAGGCCCCGCCTCCAGACACGCCCCTGAAAGGCCCGTCCCAGAAGGCCCCGCCTCCAGACACGCCCCTGAAAGGCCTTGCCCCAGAAAGCCCCGCCCTTAGACAGGTGCCGCCCCAAAAGGCCTTGCCCCCAGAAGATCCCACCCCAGGCAGGCCCTGCGGAAGCAGGCCCCGCCCCCATGAAGGCCCCGCCCACACCTGCTTGGCACCGCCCCTTGAGAGCCACTCCCAGACAGGCCCCGCCCCAGACAGGTCCTTCCCGGAAGGCCCTGCCTCCAGACAGGCCCCACCCCCAGAAGGCCCTGCCTCAAATAGACCCCGCCCAGAAGATTCCACCCACCCCAGCAGGACCCACCCAGACAGGCCCCTCCCCCAGGAAGGCCCCGCCCACGCCAGGTTTGGCACCGCCCCTTGAGCCCCACCCCAAATCCCTGTGTGAATACACTTGTCTGCCCACTCGAGCAGCCCCAGTAACGGCTCCATTGGAGACTTTGTTGTTACTGTGTCTGGCATATCGAATACGTCACGGGGAGCTTGCCAGGCTCTGCCGTGCGGGCAAGATACTCTCGGTTGCTTGCCGGGCTCTCAAGAGGGGTGGAGGAATCGAACTCGGGTCGGCCATGTTGGCTGCGTGCAAGGCAGACGCTCTACCCGCTGTGCTATCGATGCTCCAGCCCGGCTCACGATGTTCTGTGCAAACTGCCGGGAAGGGCTGCCCCTGGGGTGTGGTCCTGAGCCGAGTCTCTGGGCCACCCTACTCCCCACTTTGCTAGCCCCAGCCCTAGTGTTGCAAACACACAGCAGCCATGGTGGCTTGCTTTGGGGGTTCGTAGGCTTGGAGGCCACCTCTTGGAACCCTTTTCTCCCCCAATCTTCTTTTTTTTTTTTTTTGCTTTTTGGGTCACATCCAGCGATATACAGGGGTCACTCCTGGCTCTGCACTCCGGAATTACTCCTGGCGGTGCTTGGGGAACCATATGGGATGCTGGGAATCGAACCGGGGTCGGTTTGAAGGCATACGCCCTACCTGCTGTACTATTGCTCAAGACCCTCCTACCCCTATCTTATCTCGCAGATCCTGGGCATGGCCTTCTCCATGACCCTCTTCCAGCACATACACCGGACGGGGAAGAAGTACGACGCTTGAGCGGGCGGCAGAGCCCGCGGCCCCCTGGGAACTCAGTGCCAGGGAAGATTGGAGCTTTGTGTCGCCTGCCCGGACTCTCAGACTGCTGCCCCCAACTTCCGCCCTGCCCCACCTCCACCTTGCTTGGAGGGGGTGGAGGGCTAGGGAGGAGGAGGCCTGCAAAGACTTTGGGGTGCCCGGCAAGGGACACCTGGATTCCTGCACCTGTGTATTTGCCAAAGAAGACGGGGTGTGGCGGACGGGGTCAGTCCCTGTGGGCCCCCGAGCACCCATGCGTTTCTGCACCGGTCTTTCCTTACACTGATGTTCAGTCCCTTGTGGGGTGTGAAGTGGGCCCCCCTCCTGCCACCCCCCTCAGGGGAGAGACCGCCTTGGAGGCCCCCTGGAGGGAGAGGGGGAGCTGATGAACCTCCAGCAAGACCCCCCCACCCAGGATTTTATACCTTCCAGCATCACTTTTTTAAAGTTTTATTTTACTCCTATTATGATTATTCAGGACTGTTATCGCTCCCAGAACTTAGGGGTAGCTTTCTGATTTATACCTTTTTACTGTGTTGATTTCTGTCATGGTTTGGTTTTTTTTTTCTTTTAGGGTGTTTTTTTTTTCTTTTTTGAGGATGGGGGATGGGTGGGAAGTAGTGAGGACCCTTATGGGAGCGGGTGATGAGAACAAACCACAGTGTGGAACCCAGAAGGCTCTGAGTTTGGGTCGGGGGGGGGGGGGGTGGCGGGCAGTGGGCTGGGGATTGGGGGGGCTGACATCTGGGCCTCACGAGCCAGGAAGAGGCAGGTGGGCTTGGGGGACCCAGAGACTGTGGAGGTGCCTCCGAAGGGGGGTCCCACATGGCCCGAGCATGCAGGTGGGAGCCAAGGAGGAGGCCGCCCTATACTTTGTCAGGGCCCGGCCATTGTCCTCATGGTCTTTTTCTGTCCTTGCTGTCCAGTTTCCTTCCTTCCCCTCTGCCCTCTGCTGTCACAGATCCCCCTTTGCTGTCCCCTCAGCCCCCAGGGGCACTCAGCAGTCTCTGCAAGCCCCGAGACTTTCACAAACATTCCTTCTAGAAGCTCTCAGACATGGGGCCTCTCTGGGTAGACGCTGCTCGCTGGTTCTTGGAGTTTCTGGAAGGGGGAGCAGAGCCTGGAGTCCCGTAGCTCACACAGTGACCGAGGACCGGGGCCATGGGAGGGGAAGGTGGAGCTGGTGATGTCATCATTCCAACCAGATCCTTGCTGAGAGGAGGGGGCTGGGGTCCCCGGTCGTGTTCCAGGTTCATTGATGATGGGTGGGCAGTGGGCCTGTATGAGCTCAGGAGAAGGCGGAGGGCAGACTAGAGGAAGTGAAGGTCCCCAGGTAACGGTGTGGCAGGGCACGGTGGGCCCCTCACTGCACACCCACCAGAACCTGCCCTCGTTGAGTGGCACTGCTATGACAGTGATGTCGAGAGTCCATGAGGCTGAGCAGGAGAAGGTTGCCCACCTGCCTTCTCTTGCGCCATTGGGTGGGGCCCCTGCCCCAGCCTGCATCTGTTTGTCCGTCCGCAGAGCTGAGACCCAAGCGTCCAGCCAGCAGCCCTGTTCGCCTCAGCGAACTGCAGCTGGGACCAGCAGAACAGAAGGGCTTGATGTGTCAAGAATTCCTATGTTGGGGTGCTGGGAGGGTTCGAGGGGGTTGCCTCACAGTCAAAAGCTGCGGAGCTCGGGGTGCTGATGGGTGCACCAGCCCCCACTGGCTCCTGGGAACCACCACCCAAAAAGTGGGGAGCAGAGTGGGGACAGTTTCCGCAGAGAAACTGCCCAAGAGATGGCATCTGCATTCCCCAGCAGAAGCCCAGAACCTAAGGAGCGTGCGCTTGGGGTGGGGGTAGGGGGGTCGGGGGTGTCTATGCCCATCAATGCAATTTCTCATTTTCCTTCAGATCAACCACGAGCGTCTAGCTTCTTGGGGTGTATAACCACCCGGGCAATCTCGTGTTTCCAGAGCTACAGGGGCCTCTGGTCCTTGGAGCCTGTGCCCCTGCTCCCTGCCACCCTGCACCACCTCCATTGATGCCAGAGCTTTGTCCATAGAGCCAGATCCCCCAAAATCCACTGGGCGGAGTCTGGGAGGGGTTCCCCCACGATATGGGCGGGGCCTTCCCGAGCCACGCCCACCACAGGGACACGCCCACTTCCGTGGGGCCACGCCCCTGCCGGGCGCCACGCCCACCCCGCGGAGCCACGCCCCTGCTGGGTGCCACGCCCACCCCGCGGAGCCACGCCCCTGCTGGGTGCCACGCCCACCCAGCGGAGCCACGCCCCGCCGGGTGCCACGCCCACCCCGCGGAGCCACGCCCCCGCCTGGTGCCACGCCCATGGAGCATCCCTCCGTGATCCCATCCCTGCGCGCTCTCCCGCCAGGATCTCTTAGGGGAAGGCGTAAGAGGGAACTGCAGCAGCCCCTGTCTCGAGCTACCCCGGCCAGGCTGCAGGCTCAACTCCAGCTCAGGCTTTTGTGGACGACCTCACGAGGAGGAATGGGGTGCATCCTCGGCCCGTCTCCGTGAGGAGGGGCTGCGGAGGGTCGGGGCCCCGGTGAGGGGACGCCCCTGGGCCACGGGGAGGCTGACCCACCAGATGTCCAACCGGCCGCTCTCCTCCTCGCTGTGGGAGGCGAAGAGCAGCTCAGGAAGCCGCTGCCCCCTGCTCCCCGGCCCTGCCCACCCGCCCCTGGAGGTGCTAGCTTGCAGGGACCTGGCCCCTGGCAGCGTGCCTTGGGCTGGGGCTCAGCCCTGCACGGTCCAGCGCCTCTGTGTGCTCCTGTTTGCCCCCTGGGTGAGCAAGCGAGGGGACGAGGGGGTCCTGCCCTCCTCCCCCACCCCCCGCCCCGAGCGGGCCCTCCAGGAGAGCTGGGGAGCAGGCGTGTGGGGTTCAGGTGTATTTTCTGCTTGCAAATGCCGTGTCTGCGCGACCCCCACCTGGTCGGGGCTTTCTCGATCGCCATGTTTTTAGCATGTTTTTCAATAAAAAGCTGACCGCCGTGTCAGAAGCACAAGCAGACTGTCTCCGACGTGGATTTGTGGGACCCACTGGGGCTTGCACCAGGCCTGCCTTCTGTCCAAGACCCTGCCCACCCCCCCACCCACACCCCCAAGCCAGGGGCTGCGCGCACCTGGAATCCTCTCCCCTTTGCTGGCGATGGGGTTGGTCCAAACTCTCTTGCCTGGGAGCTCCCGACTGTGATGACCCCATTTATGGTTTTCCGAGGGGGCGGGGTGAGCTATCACCACCCCCCAGTCCCCCTGCACTTTCTGGACTTCGTCTGGATTGACGTGTCCTATTGGAGTTGAGGGGCCTGGCTTGCTCTGAAACGGCCCCCAAGGGGAGCGAGGGAAGCATAAGAGCTGGCTGCTCCCCCATCCCCCTTGTCATCTCATAACCCCCCCCCCCCCCCTTACTGAGTCTAGGCTGGGCACGGTGACTCGGATGCAGTGCCTTGAGAGCCCCTTGGTCTGGGCTGCTGCGGGGGTGGGGATGAAGGGAGACTGACCCCTACACGGGCGCACCTCTCTTTTCTGGAGAGACAGCCCCACGCACCCCTCCCTCCTTTTTCCCACACCCCAGAGACTTGCTGGGGGTTGAGGCGTGGGCAGAAGGGGGGTCCCTGGGCGCTGTGGCGGAGAGGGGTCAGAGTGGGTGTGGCTGAGGTCTGGATTGGCCCTGTGTCCCTGTCTCGGCCACTCCTGTCCCTCTCCCAGGGACAGAGCTGGGCTGGGCGGTGCCTGCGTGGGGCGGGCAGGGGACGCCTTGGGCCAGCCCTGGGTCAGCTCTGGGCTGTGGTCAGGTGGACCAAAGTGGGAAGGCAGGGCCGGGTCACCCCGTCTTCCTGCTCCCCTGGGATTCTCGTTCCTAGGGGGTCTGCTTCTGAGCTCTGCAGGTCATGGGAAGGGGCGCTGGGAGGTGGCAAGGACCACCCCCATTTCTGTGCAGGTGGGGGTGGTGCTTGGTAGAGGCTGGCGGTTTAGGGGGGCTTAGGACCCCCGCTGTGGGCTCCCTCCAAAAAGCTGATGGTGGAGGTTTAGCAGGATATGCCTCCGATGAAGCACCACGCCCGTTTCCTCTGCCCAGTCCGCTTTTATGTCTTTTTTTTTGTTTGTTTGTTTTGTTTTTTAGCTTTTTGGGTCACACCCGACGATGCACAGGGGTTCCTCTGCACTCAGGAATCACTCCCGGCGTTGTTCGGGGGGACCATATGGGATGCTGGGAATCAAACCCGGGTCAGCCGCGTGCAAGGCAAATGCCCTACCGGCTGTGCTGTGGAGTCCCAATTTCGTGTGTGTGTGTGTGTGTGTGTGTGTTTGTGAGTGTGTTTTGGTGTGTGTGGGGCACACCTGGTAGTGCTCAGGGCTTATTTCCAGCTCTGTGCTTCCGGCAGGTTCCGAGACCACGTTGGCGGGTGGGTGTCAGGGATCGAACCCAGGTGAGTCATGGGCAAGGCCGGCATCCAGCCTGCTGTATTACGGTCTGAAAGGCACCTCAGAGCAGCCAATGGGATTGCTGCCCTGGTGTCTTCCCAGGGCGGGCGGGAACCGAGGGGGCTGGCGCTGCTCCGTGCGGTTGGGGGTCACGGGGTGAACGGCAGCCTCCCACCCCACCCCTGCTCGCCCCTCAGGAAGCCAGGGGAGGGTCTGAACTCTGGGTCGAGATTTCCTCGCCCCACACTCAGGCTGGAGTGTGAGAGGCAGGGCGGGTACCGGGCAGCGCAGGGCCTGGATGGAGGGAGGGAGGGAGGAGCTTTCTCCACGCTTCAGCTTCTGTTCACTGCAGTGCTCGCGGCTGCTCTCTGCTCAGTGCTCGGCATCCCACATGAGGTGCCTCAGGGGCCGTGCCGGCCTGAGCTTTCCACCGGGGGCTCCCACATGCAAAGTCTGAGCGCCAGCCCATTGCCTCTGTGATCTAATGAGCGACGCTGGCGCCCCTGGGTCAGCTGTGTGGGAGCCGTGTGGAAAGGAGACGAAATGACAGGTCAGAGAGACAGGGACACCAGTGAGGAATGACATGGACCGGGGCGAAGGTGGACCGTTAGCCCACCCAGGCACACAACTGTTAGCGACCCGCGGGTGAGTGAGTGAGATTTCCTGGGCTTGGGCAGCTGGGTCGAGACCAGACAGACGTCCTTAGCTCCCTCTCTTCCGCCTGCAGTGAACTTCCCCTCAGGCACGAGATTCTCAGGTATGTTGTCTGGACCCTCCCAACCACAGCAGTTTTTGGAGCTGTGACTGGGGCTGATGTTTTTCACTGCATGTGGGGTGGGGGGAAGAGACTGTGCTGGGGTCCAGGAGCACTGCTTTGGGAGCCGAGAGGCTAGGAGGGTCACATTCCCGCCCTGTGTTCTGCATCCCCGTGAGACTCATTGTGGTCATTAGTGCCGGGGAACTGCATTACAACACTGCACTCAGGAGAGATGCTTGCTGAGAATTCAGTTCAAGGTGCCGGAGTGATAGCACAAAAGATAGGATTCTCACCTTGCATGCGACTGACCTGGGTTCGATTCCTGACATCCTCGAGCACCACAGGGAGTGATTCCTGAAGGCAGGGCCAGGAGTAACCCTTGAGCATCGTTGGGTGTGACCCAAACAACAAACCAAAAAGAAAGCTATGGGTTCTTGGGAGGCCCCAAAGTAGGAGGGGGGGCCCCCAAGAGAAAGCATCCTCACCCGAAAACTCTGGGAATCCCAGAGTGATGTGGAAATGGAGTTGGTCTCTGCTGGGGGTCCAGGCGTGGTGGACAAGTCTCTCTGTCGCCTTCACTGCAGCCTCAATAATTTTCCAGGCTGGCTTCTACTTCCCAGAAGTAAGAGGGACACCAGCTGGCCTGATAGTGGACACAAAAATATCAATAAGGGGCCGGAGCCATAGCACAGCGGGTAGGGCATTTGCCTTGCACGCGGTCAACCCGGGTTCCATCCCCAGCATCCCATATGGTCCCTCGAGCACCGCCAGGAGTAATTCCCGAGTGCATGAGCCAGGAGTCAACCCTGAGCATTGCTGGGTGTGACCCAAAAAGGAAAAAAAATTATCAACAATATGGGGCTGGAGCGATAGCACAGCGGGTAGGGCGTTTGCCTTGCACGTAGCCAACACGGCCAACCCAGGTTCGATTCCCAGCATCCCATATGGTCCCTCGAGCACCGCCAGGAGTAATTCCTGAGTGCATGAGCCAGGAGTCACCCCTGAGCATCGCCAGGTGTGACCCAAAAAGCAAAACAAGCAAACAAACAAACAAAAAATATGAACAGTAGTTGAGTACACCACGGACTGGGGAGCCATTGGTCTCACTGTCTCATTTCCGCCGGGCACAGTTCTATCTTCTTAAGCTGATGGAAGGAATTGGGCCCCCCGCCAGACTCTCCTATACAAGGGCCTGCTAGAGTCGCCCCCTCAGGGGTCCCAGAGCTGAGGCTGCGCTGAGGTGCAGCCCATTTTCCGGGGGACTCCCTGGCCGTAGAGGGGGGAGGGTTGAGGGGTCAGAGGGCACGCTGAGCTGTGGCTGGGTCTGGGGACAGCGGGCTGAGCCAGGACTTTCCTGGGGGTGATGGTAGCCTGGGCCCACTCCGCTCTGCAGCCAGGGGGTCCTGTCCCTTCACCGGGTGCCTCACGGGCCCCAGGATCTCGGCCTCTCCCCTCCCCCCCAGTCTCCCCAGCCAGTCCTGGAAGGCCAGGAATAGAGTGGATGTCGCCCACCCAACACAGTGGGGAATCGGGTGTGACCTCTGACCTCCCCTCGGCCCACAGTTTAGCTCCAGTTAGCCCCTGGGACTCAGGGTGGTTGGCTTCAGGAGACCCTTCACCGCCCCTCAGGGCCCCTCACCCAAGCTGCTTTCCTGGGTGACTCCCTTCCCCCCCCCCCAGGCTCTGCCTCCAAGTTCCGGAAGCTCAGGTGCTCCGTGGGTCCAAACTGGGGAAGTGACTCCCCCCTCTGGATTCTCTGCACCTGTGATACCCCCAGAGGGACCCCTGCCCCCCAGTGCAGACTGGGGAGATACGACAGCAGGTAGGGCGCTTGCCTTGCAAGCAGCCTACTCAGGTTCGATTCCCAGCATCCCATAGGGTTCCCCAGAGGCTCACCAGGAGTGATCCCTGAGCACAGAGCCAGGAGTAACTCCTGCTGGTCTGCTGGGTGTGGTTCCCAAGCCAGAAGGAGGAGAGGTGGGGGAAGGAGAGAGAGAGAGAGGGAGGAGAGAGAGAGAGAGAGAGAGAGAGAGAGAGAGAGAGAGAGAGAGAGAGAGAGAGAGAGAGAATTCCCAGAGTTTTCAGGTGGGGATGCTTTCTTTTGGGCTCCCCCCTCCTACTTTGGGGCCTCCCAAGAACCCATAGATTTCTTTTTGGCTTGTTGTTTGGGCCACATCCAGCGATGCTCAGCGGTTACTCCTGGCCCTACCCTCAGGAATCACTCCCTGTGGTGCTCGGGGATGTTGGGAATCGAACCCAGGTCGGTGGCATGCAAGGTGAGAATCCTACCCGCTGTGCTATCACTCCAGAGAGAGAGAGAAGGTGAAGAGAGGGGAGAGGGACAGAAGGAGAGAGAGAGAGAGAGAGAGAGAGAGAGAGAGAGAGAGAGAGAGAGAGAGAGAGAGAGCCCTTCCCACATTCCCATATCTGGTCGCAATTCAAGGACAGCAGGTTGGGGCCACCTGGCCTGGGTTCCCCTAACCCCGAGGGACTCCCACGCAGGTGACAGTGGAGAAGCGTCCAGCGCATGGGCCCTGGCAGGGCTGGACGCCCGCTCCCGCCCTCCTCCCCCTGGCCTGACTCACAGATTCCCAGCTGGCCCCCCGGCAGCGCCTGTGGCCAGCGGACATTGGGGTGCCTGGGGGCTTCCTGTGCTGTGGTTAGGGGGGGTACTGAGGGTCTCGGCACTGCTGGGGAGCAAGGGAAGCTGGCAGGGCAGCCGGCACCCCGGGGTCAGCGTCAGCGCTGGCCAAGCAGAGTTGGTGGCCACTCTGATACTCGCCGCCCGGGCTGCCGCTGTTGTGAGGGCTCCTGACCACCAGGGGGCGCCCGAGAGGCGGCACTGTGCCGCCAGGGACGGGCAGGGGGTTTCCCCGTGTGGGGAGTTTGCTGCCTCCCCGAGGTGCGACCCCCACCCCCAGCAGGAGCCAGCGAAGCAGCTCCCCTCTCCCATCCTGCCCCCTCCATCGTGGGACCCCCCCACGAGCCCAGCTAACCCCCCCACCCAGGAGGGAGCCCACTCTAGCTCCAGCGAGCACTGCAGGCCGAGCAGAGGGGAGCAAGGAGGCGGAGTTCCCCTGGGCACAGGCGGCGGGACCCCCTCTTGGCTCTTCAGCCCCCCCAGTGTCCCGGGCTCTGGGCGCCCCAGAACCCGGGCTCTGGAGCAAGAAGGGGTCAGCTCTTTGCAGAGTGGGGTTTGGGCCTCGCCTGGAGGCACTCGGGGCTGACTCCCGACTCTGTGCTCAGGGGTCTCTCCCGGCCGATGCAGGGACCCCCACGGGCACGCCAGCAGCTAGAGCTGCTAGGGTGGGCGTCCCTGGGGAGGTGCCCCCAGCTCTGTGGGCGTGAAGCGGGCGTGGGACCCTCTGCGGCGTGGTTCCGGGGGTCTGGTGGGCGGTCACTGGCTCCTGAGAATCAAGGGGCCCCACGGCGGAGAAGCGGACAGCGGAGACACTGTGTTTGCGTGGATTCCTTTATTGCCACCCCACGCATGGTGATGGGTGCGGGTTTACAAGAGCACGTCCCCCCTCGGAGGGCGATTAAGGCAACTCTAACGTTTCTGGAATCTGAGGGTCCCAGGACCCCATTCGCAGTGAGCCTGGGATGCAGGGGTGGGGGGCACAGTGAGGAGGGGGAGGGCCCACGAGCTGGGGGGACAGCGAGGTGCAGGCCTTGTGCTGAGTCAGGAAACTGGGGGACCCGGATGGCAGCCCCCACCCCCAAGGGCTGCCCCGGCACTGGCTTCTAGGGACCCCCATGGGGGCCTGGGCTGGGCAGGGCAGGGGGTATAAAGGGAGGTGGTGTGGCGGCCCCTCGCTGGCCTGGCTGTGGTCTCACATGCCAGGGCATTTTCTAGAACCACACAGGAATTCTTCTAGAATTTTCTAGAATGACCCTGCCTGCTCCCCCCTCTCTGCAGACCCCCAGGGTGTCCAGCACCATTCCCTCCGGGACCAACGTGTGCAGGACAGAGCCCCCCGACCAGCTGTTCACCTCCAGGGGTTCCTCCTGGGACGGGACTCCGAGTTTCCGGTGCCAGCAGCAGGAAGGCTGGTCCTGTGCGCACCCATGGGCCCCGTGTGCCCGAGAACAGGCACAGACGCATCTCCTGGGGGGGCTCTCGGGAGGGGGGGTGTGAGGGCCCAGGATGCACCCAGGCCAGGTCCCTGCTGTCTCCCTCCCAGGCCAGCCCGTTTCTTGGGGACAGGGTAGGGATCTTCTGGGTGCAGAACCAACCCTCCTGCCCCACCCCCCATGTTGCAAAGAGCAGGGGAGCCCCCAAAGGCTGCATGAGGACCCCCCGCTGGCAGGGCTCCGTGTCGCCCCATGTCGGGACACAGGGACCCCACCTGGGGCTGGGGGTCCCTGGCTGGCGCTGCCTCCCGCTGGCTACAGGGTTCTGTCTCCAGGCGTCCCAGGCTGGGCGGGGTCGCAGGAGTCACTGTCTGCCACTCCTGAACGCAGTGGGGGTTGCTGGGGGGGGGGGCGCCGAGTCCAGCTGGTGAGGGTTGGCAGGCCGGCCAGGGCCCCGTGGGCGCCTAGTAGCGGTGCATCTGCAGCCTCCGATGTAGCGAGCAGGTGAGAACCATCCCGCAGATCTGCCGGGGAGAGCAAGGCGGGGCTGAGTGACCCCAGGACCCTGCAGCCAGGGCACACCCCCCCCATCCGGTCAGGGGCAAATGCCCCTCCCTCCTCTGGAGCTCCAGGTCTCCTAGATCCCCCTCCTCTGTCGCCCCCATAAGCTGCTGGGAGCCTCAGTGCTCAGTGCTCAGTGCCCCTAGAACCTCAGGGGTTCTAGGGGGTGGGGGCGGGGGGGGGGCGCAGAGCCTCAGTCTCCAAGCCAAGCCTAGCCCCCAGCTGGTTCTCAGCCCCCCGAGCTGCGGCTGCGTCCTCAAAGCCCTAAAGCCCATCTGGTTCCCCCCTCCCCACTCCTCCTTCTCCCACCCAGGAGACACAGAGGCCCCGAGGGGTGGGAGCCAGAGCAGGAGGCCCAGCCGGTGGTCCCAGCCCTGGGCGGCCCCTCCCCACGCACCCATTCTTTGCCTCATGGCCTGGGTCCCCAGGGAGGACGGAAACCCAGCTGCAATGGCAGAGCGGGTGTCACCCAGTGCGGGGAGAGCTGCGGGCGGGTGGCCCGGTCATGCTTCGTGGAGAGGCCGATGGACAGCTCCCAGCCTCGGAGGCTCCGGACACTTCAGGGCAGAAGGTTCTGGACCCCCTGTCCAGCCCAGGCTCTAAGAGCGGTGCTGACGTGCTTCCGCTGGAAGGTCACCTGCCGTCCCCAGCCCTGTCCCTGACGCATGGTCTCCTAGTTTGTCCTGTGGGGTCCTCAGGGTCTCTCCAGTCCTTGCTCAGGGGGAGGTGGGAGCCTGAGAAGCAGCTCTGACGCCCCAAAGCAACCACCTGCACAGCCAGTTAAATCTTCCTCCCTTCCCCGCCCTCCCTCCTCCCTCCTTCCTTTTCTTCCTCCCTTTTTTTTGCTTTTTGGGTCACACCCAGTGATGCTCAGGGGTTCCTCCTGGCTCTGCACTCAGGAATTACTCCTGGCGGTGCTCAGGGGACCATATGGGATGCTGGGAATCGAACCCGGGTCGGCAGTGTGCAAGGCAAACGCCCTACCCGCTCTGCTATCGCTCCAGCCCCAGAAACTATTTATTGATCATCCCGTTAGCCATTCTGGGGTAGCAAACAATATAGCAATATATTAGTAAAATAAAATAAATTACTTGGGGCTGGAGCGATAGCACAGCAGGTAGAGCGTTTGCCTTGCATGCAGCCAACATGACCGACACAGGTTCGATTCCCAGCATCCCATATGGTCCCCTGAGCACTGCCAGGAGCGATTCCTGAGTGCATGAGCCAGGAGTAACCCCTGAGCCATCGCCGGGTGTGACCCAAAAAGCAAAAATAAAATAAAATAAATTACTGAGGGCGTGCTATGGGGGCAGGCTTGGGGGGGGGCTGGGAAAATTGGAGACAGCGGTGCAGGAACTGTGACAGAGGTGGGGGGGGGGGACTGCCCTGGAATCCTGGATGCCAGGAGCAACTTTGTAGCCCGGGGGTCTAAATAAAACAGGTGGGGGAAACCTGTCGGGTGGGGTCCCAGGCTGTGGCGGGAGTGAGGAGCAGCCCGGCCTCTCAGGGCTGTGTCCAGGCTGCCGGGGTGACCTCTGCACGCACACACATGTGCACAGTGTCCCCAACCCCGCCAGAGAAGGACACACAGGTCAGGCTCCGGATGAGCACCGGTGGCTCCTCCAGGACACGGACTAATGACCACAGGGGACAACGGTTGCGGTGGCCTCTCTTGAGCTGGATGTGGCATGTGGCGCCCCCTCCTGGCAGCTGCCTGCAAGCTCTGCTGACCACACCTGGGACTTTCCTGACCCTCCCCCCCTGCACCACGTGCGCGCACACACACACACACACACACACACACACACACACACACACAGCGTTGCAATTTTCCCAGCTGGCACCTGTGCAGTTGTGGCCACCAGGAAGCCGAGGAGAGCTCTCAGCCCTGACCCGGTCCAGCAAGGACACCCAGTCTGCTGCTGCCTGGGAGATTCTTGAAGACCACAAGGACAGAGAGGCCAGCAGGGAAGCTCAGCGGTGAAGGCCTTCCCTTGTGTGCAGCTGACCCGGGTTTTACTCAGGCATCACATCATCCCATGCATCACACATGGTCCCCTGAGCACTGAGCCAGGAGTAAATCCTGAGCACTGAGCCAGGAGTAAGCCCTGAGCGCAGCCGGGCTTAAAAAAATTAGGCCAACGGGACCAGTGTCACAGTCCTTGCACTCTGCCAGACCAGGGTTCTAAAGATAAGTTCCCCGTTGAGCAATTCCTACTATTTTCCCTGCAAACTGGAACCATCGGGCACTGCCTCCAGGTAGCCTGCCTTGATTGCCCACGCCTGGCTGGAGCCTCTTCCGTGCCCGCCTCTCCCCCCAACCCCAGGGCTCACACTCACTCAGTGCCCGTGACTGCCTTGCTCTGTGTCTCCTTCCGGTGAGTGAGAGGCCCCAGGAGATGAGACCACCACCACACCTCGCCTGGGCCTAACCCCGGGTAACTGCTCTCACTCCAGAGCCTCTTGCCAGGGGCCACCTCAGCCCTCTGACCTCCCCTCAGGCTCTCAGGCCCTCGCTATCCAAGCACGGCCGGTCCCATCTCCTCCTTGGGTTCTGCAGCGCTCAGGCCGCAGTGCTCAATCGCATCTGAAGGTCCCTGCGGGGGGGCCACTTCTCGGTCCACCTCCGGACCCCCACTTCCACCCGAGCAGCTCTGCCTCCTGAGCTTAACACACCCCGCCCTCGACAAAAGGACGCGGCCGCTTTAGAGGGGCCTGGCAACCACTCCTGCTCAGATTCAGAGAGGGAGGGCAACTTCCCCAAGGTCACACAGGAACAGGCGGGCCAGGGCGAGCTTCAGGACTTTTCTCTGGGGTCTGGGGGAGGGGAAAGGCAGGGGGAACATTGTGACCCTCTCTTGGGCTTTTTTTTTTCCCTCTTGAGCCTTGACTTGCCAGACAGGGCGAGTGCAGGGAAGGTGCCTCGGTGCTGGGAGCCCCTTAAGGCTGGGGGAGCCCGCCACGGCTCAGTTCCAGCATTGGCCAGCAGAGGGAGCGCTAACCTGAGGCTTGGGGGCTGCTGGACCGAGGAGACCCCCGGGGGACTGAAGGGGCCAGGCTGGGTGCCCAGGGGGGCCCGGGAGGAGTCGGTGCCGGCGGGTGTGGGCAACAGGCAACCTCAGAGCTGCAGGCCTGTTACCGTTACCTCTTCTTGTTTTGTCTTGTTTGTTTTTGCTCTTGGGCTCAGTGCTCAGGGGCTCCTCCTGGCTCTGCACGCAGGACCTACTCCTGGCGGTGCTGGGGACCCCGGGGATCTAATGGGTCACTCGCCCTCCCCTCGGTGCTGTCACTCTCACCCCAAGGTCCGTTCTGCGGCCAGCTTGCTCCCTCCCTGCCCGTGGCCTGGTCCCCTACAGGGACCCAGGGGACCCACACATGCAACCTGGCTCAAGTCCACACAGAGCATCCCCCCCGCCCCCCGCGCCCCTCGCCCTCCGACTCACCTGCAGGCAGGCCACCCCGATGCCCACGGCCCCCATGAGCAGCAGGTGGTCGGCCAGGAACTGCTCGAGCTTGGAGATGCAGCCGCCCTGGAAGGGGAGAGCGGGGACTGAGCGGCCCCAGGAGGCTGCGAGAACCGAGGACCGGGACGGAGGAGCAGAGGGGGGCGAAGGGCTGGCGGAGGTGGGGTGGGGGGCTCCAACAGCCCCGTTTTCCCAGGGCCACAGAAACGTGTGCATGTGCACACACACACACACGCACATGCAGGAGCACACGGACTCGGGAGGGGGGTGGAGCTGACACCAACTGCAGCTTGTGCTGGACACACCCAGAAGCTGGACCGCGGGGCTGGAGGGGCCGGACCCCGCCCTACGGTCCTCGGGCGAGGGGCGGGGTGGGAAACCCAGACCCGGAGGGTCTCCAGCCCATCCCAGCCTCTCCGGCTGCAGAGATCCCCTCCCCGACCCTTAACCGCACCAGGCCAGACGCCCCGTGCCACCCCTGGTCACGCTGCCGTGAGTGACCAGAAAACCCGGCCTCGGCCCTGGCCCGAGGGCGACCAGCATCCGCCCCGCGCTCCCTTCCCAGGGTCCCTGGCCCGAGCCGGGGGCGCCCCGCCTGCCCGCTCTCACCTCCACCTGGTAGATGTTGGAGGGGTGGACCCGCTGGCCGCAGCGCGGCACCACCGTCTTGCAGCAGCTGTCGGGCACGTGGCGGCCCTGGGCCGCGGGCGACTGGATGTAGGTGCTGAGCCGCCAGTCGGCAGAGCTGTTGCTCCCGCAGCAGCGGAACTGCGCAGGGCAGAGGCGGTGAGGGCGGCCACCGGGGGGTCCGGCGATCCCCCGGGCCAGGGCCACAGATGCAAGCACGCACGCACACACACACACACACACACACTCATACACTCACTCATGCTCACACACTCACACACACGCTTTCAAACACAATACACACTCACACCCTCATTCACACTCACACACACACACTCTCGTGCTCATACTCACACGCACTCACACATACATTCACACCCATTCACACCCACCCGCACTCAGGTGCACTCACATGCACACTCACACCTATACCCACTCTCAAACTCACAGCCACACCCACACACACTCAGATGCTCACATACCCGCTCACACACATACGCACACTCGCACTCACACATACACCCATTCACACAATACTCACACTCAGATACACACTCACACTCGCACACTCCCACACATACTAACACTCACACCACTCAGACACATACATTTGCACCCACTCACACACATGCACTCACACATTCACACACACACTCACACATACCTTCACACCCACTCACATATACCTGCACTCTCATACACACACTAACACACTCACACACATTCACACACTTACACACATCCATTCACACCCACTCACGCACATGCACTCACACACACTCCCACACACACATCTGCACTCTCATACACACACTCACACACTCACACACATTCACACACTTACACACATCCATTCACACCCACTCACACACATGAGCTCACACACACTCCCACATACACACACATGCGTTCACACACGCACACTCATGCCCACCCGCGCACAGACCCCCGTGCTGACACCAAGCGCGCACACCTTGCCAGGCCGGCTGCTGTCGGATCTGCCACACTCACACCCACACCCCCCAGCCTCCCCCTGCTGCTGGGGTGGGCTCTGGCCTCTGGGGTCACTCTTCAGGAAGCTGCTGCCGGCAGGACCGCCATCTGCCCCCTTTAGTCCCTGCATCCCTCAGGGGTGAGGGCGGGGGGAGGTGGCTGGTGGTCCCTGGGGGCAGAGGGCCTGCGGGTCACACGGCAGCAGACCCCGGGGGCAGGGCCCAGGGAGGGGACCCCCAGCCTTGCCAGGGGCTGCTGTGGGGGCAGGACCCCAGACCCGCAGGGCAAGGGCAGTGGGTGTCCCAGAGGCCCGAGGGGCGAGCTGAGGGTGGGTGGGTGTGAGGCCCAGTAAGGGGGGGGTTCCTTCCCCGGGGCAGCAGCCCCCAGTCTCAGTCCAGGTCAGGGAGTGGAAGTGGTTATTCTGGGCCACACCCGGCAGTGCTCAGGGCTTACTCCTGTCTGCACTCAGGGGACCATCCGGGGTGCAGGGATGGAACCCGGGTCAGCTGCGGGCACGGCAAGGACGCTACCCACTGTACTATCCCGCCAGTCCCGGAAGTCGGTTATTTTTGCCACTTTTTTTTTTTTGCTTTTTGGGTCACACCTGACGATGCACAGGGGTTCCTCCTGACTCATGCACTCAGGAATTACTCCTGGCGGTGCTCAGGGACCCTATGGGACACTGGGAATCGAACCCGGGTCGGCTGCGTGCAAGGCAAACGCCCTCCCCGCTGTGCTCTCGCTCCAGCCCCATTTTTGGCCCTTCTGCATTCAGAAACGGACCGTCCACAGCTTACGCCTGGCTTTGCTCAGGGACCCCCCCCCCCGGCGGTGCTTGAGGGACCCGACAGGGCACCGTTGCACCCCCCCCTCGGGCCAGCAGTGTGCATTGAGGCAAGCCCCTCCCCGCTGGACTATGGCTCCAGCCCCTAGATCCTGATCTCAGGCCTCCAGCCAGCCGGAGCTCTGACAGGAGCCGTGAGGTTGGGCCCCGCCAAGCCCCACCACCCGGCAGCCAGACAGGGCGCCGATGAGAGGCCGCTGGGGGACCCTCACAGGGAAGGCAGCAGAGGTGGGCTGGGGTGGGGTCGGTGGAGGGAGCAGGAAGTAGAGCCTTGGCACCGGGCAGACGCGTGTTGGGGGGCTGTGTTGGGAGAACCCGGGGGTCACTCATGCTCTCAGACTTTCTTTTAGGATGTGACCCCGGGGGCCCAGAGGGGGCAAGCGTGTGGCCTAGAGTCGCACAGCAAAGTGTGGGCGTGGTGCTTACGTCCTGTTGGAGCCGGTCCATGGAGGCGGTGATCTCCGCGGCCTGGGGCTGCCCGTAGTTCTCAACCAGGGTCCTGGTCAGATGTAGCCTCAACTCCTCACTCAGCTGAGGGGACACAGGAGACGGGGCCTGAGGGGGACCCTCCCCCGCCCCAAAGCCGCCCCGAGAGCTGGACACATCCCAGGTGGTGCCCGGTGGGGCGGTGGCCAGGGCCGTGGGCTGGACTGTGCAGAGGAGGGGCTCAGGGGGATATGGGTGCCCGGGTGGGGGCGCCCAGGGTGGGGCGCGTGTGAAGGGGAGGGCTGACCGCAGGGCTGTTTTATTATTATTATTATTATCATTATTATTATTATTTTCTTCTTTGGGTCACACCTGGCGATGCACAAGGGTTACTCCTGGCTCTGCACTCAGGAGTTACTCCTGGCGGTGCTCAGGGGACCACATGGGATGCTGGGAATCGAACCCGGGTCGGTCGCATGCAAGGCAAATGCCCTACCTGCTGTGCTATCGGCCCAGCCCCAGCGGGGCTGTTTCAAACACTTCACAGGGCCTGTTGGGGTTGCTGGGGGCCTGGCGGGGGGACACTGGCTGGAGACCAAGGGCCTGGCCATGACCTTGAGTCAGGCTCAAGGGCACCTGGGACCGGTTCCTCTCCCTGGAGCAGCCCCTGGGCCTTGTGCTGGTCTCAGAGATGAGCACGCACCCGTCTCCTCGGAGGCTGCCCCCACGAGGGCCCCCGCCTTGTCTCGCCCCTCCTCAGGCAGGGAGGGCCCCCCCTATCCTGCTCATCTGTCCACTTCAGGATCGGGGGAGTCCAGGCTCTGGAGAGCGAGGAGGAGGAGCCCGAAGTGCTGAGGGCGGCTGGGGCCTCAAGATCAGCTGCCTCGGTTTCCCCTTCCTGTGTCCTTCTGGGGGCGCTGAGGTGGAGGAGGAGGGGGGAGGAGGAAGAGAAGAGGAAGAGGAGGAGGGGAAGGGAAGGAAGGGGGAGGAGAAGGAAAAGAGAGGAGAGGAGGAGGAAGAAGAGGGAGGAGGAGGAAAAAGCAGAGGAGGAAGAGAAAGGAGGGGGAGGAGGGGGAGGAGAGGGAGGAGGAGGAGGAAGAGGGAGGAAGAGGAGGAGGAGGGGGAGGAGGAGGAGGGGGAAGAGGAAGAGGAGGAGGAGGAGGAAGAGAGGTAGGAGGAGGAGGGGGAGGAGGAGGAAGAGGAGGAGGAGGAGGGGGAGGAGGAGGAGGAAGAGAAGAAGGAGGAGGGGGAGGAGGAGGGGGAGGAGGAGGAAGAGGAGGAGGAGGAAGAGGAGGGGGAAGAGGAGGAGGAGGGGGAAGAGGAGCAGGAGGAAGAGAGGGAGGAGGAGGAGGGGGAGGAGGAGGAAGAGGAGGAGGAGGAGGGGGAGGAGGAGGAGGAAGAGAAGAAGGAGGAGGGGGAGGAGGAGGGGGAGGAGGAGGAAGAGGAGGAGGAGGAAGAGGAGGGGGAAGAGGAGGAGGAGGAGGAGAAAAGGAGAGGAAGGAGGGGGAGGAGGGGGAAGAGAGGGAGGAAGAGGAGGAGGAAGGGGGAGGAGGAGGGAGGGGCAGGAAGAAAGAAGAGGAAGGGGAGGAGGAGGTGAAGGAGGAGGAAGAGGAGGAGGAGGAAGAGGAGGAAGGGGAGGGGAAGGGCGGGGGAGGGGCGTGGTGGGGGAGGGGGAGGGGGCCGGCTCTGTTGCTTCCACTCACCCTCTGGTAGTACACGTGGGCCAGGACCCCCGCCACCAGCTCCACGAGGAAGATGACGAGCAGCAGGCAGAAATACTAGGAGAGGGCAGAGAGAGTCCAGAGGGGAGGGCGTTTGCCTTGCAGGCAGCCGACCCAGGTTCGATCCCCGGCCTGCCATAGGGGCCCCCAGAACCGCCCGGAGTAATTCCCAAGCGCAGAGCCAGGGGCTTGCCCTGAGCATCGCCAGGTGTGGCCCCAAACTAACACTAGCGGAGGAGAGGGGCAGACGGTCACGGCCAGGGCGCCCTGCACGGCTGACCTCTCGGCACCCACACCAGCCCCCTCTGCACCCCTGGCAAGGCTCAGGGTGTCCTGCAGGGTAGAGAGGGAAACTGAGGCAGGCCTCACCCTGGAGGTGAGGGATAAAGACCCTCCTGCTGCCCCAGTCTGTGGTGGGCACAAGGTCCCTGGCAGGGAAGGGCTGTGGGTCCTGGGTGGGACAGTGAGTGTGTGTTGGGGGCGGTGGTGTAGTGGTCCTGCCCACAGTGACACGAGGCCTTCCTGACATGCCCAGGGCCCTGTGCGTGTCCCAGAGGGGCCCCACTCCAGGCAACGCAGTATCTGCAGTGCGTGGGCACTGTGGACAGGCCCCCCCAGCTCCACCCAGCACCCAGGAGCCCTCCGGGGCTGGAGCCACAGGACAGTGGTGAGCGAGTTTGCCTTGCAGGTGGTGGACCCAGGTTCAATTCTGGCATCCCGTAGGTTGGGTGTAGCCGCAAACCACCCCCGCTAAAAAAGTAAGGGGCCAGGAGTATGGTGCCACCAGCAGGTCAACCTGTACCTGCAGGGTAAGTGCATCAGCAGCCTGATGGTGCCTTCAGGCTTCCTGACACCCCAAATTGCCACCGTGACTCTGGCCGGACCCCAACAACTTGGGGCCAAGTTTACCAAGAGCCAAAAGGTATGTGAGAGCCACACCCACAAACCACCTCAGCTCCTTTATTGGCCTTATTTCAGAGACCCACAAATCTCGAAAGAGATCAAAAGCCTCAGTTTATCTCGGACCCGTGCGTGTGGCTGAACAGACTGGGGTAAATTGGAGGGAGTTAGGTCAGCCTGGCACCCGCCCAAGCAGAGCCCCTGGCAGCCACTTGCTTCCACAATCCAAAATCGCTGCCAGAGGGGCTGGAGAGACAGCACAGCGGGTAGGGCGTTTGCCTTGCAGGCGGGCCGACCCGGGTTCGATTCCCAGCATCCCATATGGTCCCCTGAGCACCGCCAGGAGTAACTCCTGAGTGCAGACACACACACAGACACATACACACAGATACAGACACACAGGAAGAACCCCTGTGCATTGCCGGGTGTGACCCCCCCCAAAAAGCAAAATAAATAAATAAATAAACTACAAGGACTGTGTTGAGGCTTGAAAGAGTTGAGCCCAGCTGCAGATCTAAGAGAAGGCTGGCCATTAAGAGATGCAGCATTGACCAGAGCAATAGTACAACAGGTAGGGCGTTTGCCTTGCACAGCGGCCGACCTGGGTTCAATCCCTGGCATCCCATATGGTCCCTTGAGCACCGCCAGGAGTAACTCCTGAGTGCAGAGCCAGGAGTAACTCCTGTGCATCGCTGGGTGGGACCCAAAAAGGAAAAAAAATCTCTGCCAGACCCCCAAAGCTCACTCCACCGTCTCAGGACGAACTTCACCAAGATACAATCTGCTGAGAATTCTGGTATAAAGGTCTTGTGACTGAAATCTCCAGGCTTTCTCGGGGTCGGGATGGGCAAACCTTCCCCTACCTCCCTGGGCTTCTGGAAGCCTCCGTGGTCACATCCACACCCTGAAGCGGTCCCCCAATCGAAAAGTTACCGTCCAGATAAAAAATTCCAATGCCCAAGAATAGCCGAGATCAGTACCAGGAGGATTACTCCATGGCTTGGAGGCCGGTCGGCATTCTAGGGAAAGGGCAGCTCAGATAGAGAAGGGAGCACCAAATAAAGGGTGTTTGGAGGATCCTCCCAGGAGGGGAGATGCATGTTGAAAGTAGACTATGGACCGAACATGATTGCCCCTCAATGCCTCTTTTGCAGACCACAACACCCAAAATGGAGAGAGAGAACAAAAGGGGAATGCCCTGCCACAGAGGCAGGGTGGGGATTGGGTGGGGGGATGGGGGTGGGAGGGATACTGGGATCCATGGTGGTGGGGAAAATGGGCCACTGGTGGAGGGATGGGTACTTGATCATTGTATAATCGAAACCAAGCACAAAAATTTGTAAGTCTACAACTGTACCTCATGGTGTCTCACTAATAAAAAAAAAATTCCAAATGCCCTGAACAAACACCATGCCCTCTTATCGCCTGGATTGCAAACCGTTATGCACAAAAGGAAAAGGAGAGAGAGAGAGCAAGAGGAAAGTGTCTCCCATAGAGGGAGGCTGGGGGTGGGGAGTGAGGGGTAGGGGGACGGTGGGAGGGAATCGGGGGACCCTGGTGGTGGGAAACATCCGCCGCTGGACGGACGAGTGCCGGATCATGGTATGACTGAGACCCAATGACGAACAGCTTTGTAATGGTCTCTCTCACGGATATCCGGTTAAAAAAATTCAAAAATAATAATACGAAAGTGACGTGGAGTTCATGCCCAATTCAATCAGCTTAATCAGGGGCTGAATGGACAGCAGTATACTCCAACATTAAATAAATAAATACGATACAAAAAGCCGAGGTCTTCCTGAGGTCTTCCTCAGCGCCTCTGCAGGAACGGAGGCAGGAACGGAGCCCCCCAAAGTGTCCAGGTGGGAGGGATGGGCACTGGGCCTGGACTCAGGGCTCCATGGCAGGGGCAGGAAGAGCAGGAGGCCAGCAGGGGCCTCCGGTCACGGCACAGCTGGGGCGGGTGGAGGGGACGTGGACAGCGGCTGCGTCTGTGAGGGGGGTTAGGCCCGCCCCGCCCCGTGGGCTCTGCCTGGGGGAAGCCCCTGGCTGAGAAGGCCAGCCGGTCCCCGAAACACGGGAGGAGGAGGGGGTGAGCAGAGGCGACTCCAGGGTCACACGAGGTGCCTGAGAGTCGCCAGGAGAACATAGCTGGCCCGAAGCGCCAGGCCCAGGCCGGGCCACCAGGGACGCAGGGCGCCGCAGGGAGCTGGGGCAGGGCAGAGCCCGCAAGCACAACCACAGCCCAGAGGGTGGCTCCAAGGAGGGCGCCGGCCCAGAGGGTCTGTCGGGCGGGTGGCCGGGAGGCTCCCGGCTCTGCTGGGGAACGGTGGCCGCCGGGAGGGTCAGTGACCGACACCTGTAACACACACACACAGACACTGGCATACAGACACACAGACACACAGATACAGACACACAGACACACACAGACACACAGATACACACTCAGACACACACTCAGACTCTCGCAGGCACCGACACACACACAGACACACAGATACAGACACAGAGAGACAAAGATACACACACAGACACAGAGACACACAGACATGCAGACAGACATAACACAGATACACAGAGGTACATAGAGACACACTCAGACACACAGATACACACACAGATACACACACAGACACACACTCAGACACACACTTAGACACCCACAGACACAGACACCCACAGATATACAGACACACCGACACACATTGAGACAGACACAGACACCCAGCCACCATCATGCACACAGATACACACACAGAGATACACAGAGACACACTCAGACACACACAGACGCAGACACACAGATACACACACCCAGATACACATGCACAGACACAGATACAGACACACAAGTACACACTCACACTCACAGACACACGCAGACACAGACCCACACAGACTAAGACACATACAGCTAGACACACAGACACACACACAGACACATACACCCAGACTTACCCAGGCACACACACAGACATACACAGACATGCATATGGTCACAGCCTCTCTCTGTCTCTGTCTCTTTCTCTGTCTGTCCATCTGACTCTCTGTCTGTCTCTTTCTCTGTCTCTATCTCTGTCTCTCTGTCTGTCTCTGTCTCTTTCTCTGTCTCTGCCTCTTTCTCTGTCTCTGTCTCTCTGTCTCTCCAACCCCTGCCCGCCCTCCTGCCCTCCTGTTTCGGGATCTGCCCTGGGCCTGGCACAGCCAACTCTCCCCTGCAATCTCTGCCCCGCCCTAGGCGGCCATGCCCTTCCTTCCTTCCAACCAACCTGGGGCAGGTGGTCACCCCTTCCCCGGAGCCCCAGAGCCTGAGCCCACCACTGCCTCAGCCCTGCTGCCCTGACAATGCCCGCGAAAGGCACAGCCCCCTAGGAGCCCTGTGGCTAGGAGCACACCCAGGCCCGAAAGGTGGGTGGGAAGGGGGGACGGGGCCCCAGGGTGCCCGGCTTCTGGGGGAGGGGCCCGTCCTGAGGAAACTGTCACTGACTCAGTCTCCCCAAGGGAACTGGGATGTGACCAAGCGGTGTGAAAAGGCAAAAGAGACTTCCCCCAGACCAAAGGTGCCTCCTCTGGGTGCTCAAAGCTCCCCCACCTTTAAAAAAATTGTTTTTTTTTTCGGGGGCTGGAGAGATAGCACAGCGGGTAGGGCGTTTGCCTTGCACTCGGCCGACCCGAGTTCGATTCCCAGCATCCCATATGGTCCCCTGAGCACCGCCAGGAGTAACTCCTGAGTGCAGAGCCAGGAGTAACCCCTGGGCATCGCCGGGTGTGGCCCAAAAAGCAAAAAAAAAAAATTGTTTTTTTTCTGGCTGTCCATCTTTCCGCCCATCTGTCTAACTCCTCCCTTTTAAGGACCTGGAGGGGCCAAGTCACTTCCCACCATCCCTGAGCAAGTTAGTCCAACTTGCTCAGGGATGGTGCTGCATCTGAGATGAAGCTCTGGGTCCTTCCCACAGGGCCGTGTGAGCGAAGTCGGGCGGTATCTGAGGGCGGCAACGTCCTTGCAGTTCCCTCATCTGCTGAGTCATATCAGCTTCTCGAACACCCAACTTCGTCCTCCATCCTCTAAATATTAAAGACCATCGCCCAGCCCCCCCCCCCCCCCACCTCCCTTCCCCTCTGGATCTCGGTTAGCCAGAACCATCCATCACGCCTCTCCATGTGACTTCAAGATCTCCAAGTTTTCAGAGACTAGAATCAAAACTCCAAAAATAGCCTCTGCGTCTGCCGGGCGGCCCGAGGCCTCAGTGGCCTGGATGAGAGGGTCATTATCCGGCTCTCCTCCGCGCAGCCTTGGCTGAGAGAGATGGGGTGTGAATAATTCACACCCTACTCCCTCCCCGAGCTCATCCTTGGGAAACGGTCAAGATGTGCTATTCCTGTCCCTCACGAACACTTTCTTCTCAGGAACTGGCTTCCAGGGGTCAGGAGGAAGGGCTCGGGCCCAGGGAGGACAGGCCCAGTGTCAGTGGGGGCCTGACTGGTCTCCTGGGCGCGTCTCCGGCCAGCACCTGCTCCCTCCTGGACCAAGCTGGGAGCGTCTCTCTCCGACGCCGGCCTTTCCTCCCGCCCTTCCTCTCTGTGCCGCTCTGAATCAGCTCTCTTCAGTGCTTGGAAAGCTTTCATTTTTTTTTTATTTTAGTTTTTGCTTTTTGGGTCACACGCGGCGATGCTCAGGGGTTCCTCCTGCCTCTTCACTCAGGAATCACTCCTGGCAGTGCTCGGGGGACCCCATGGGATGCTGGGGACCGAACCCAGGTCGGGCGTGTGCATGGCAAATGCCCACCCCGCTGTGCTATGGCTCCGGCCCTTGGAAAGCTTTCAAAAGCTGCAGAGCCACAGAAACAGTCTCCTAAGTGTCTCTCAGCACACCGCGGGCCTCGAGGAGGGACCCGGGCTTTAACCTGCCTACTCAGGTCCTCCTGCAGGAACCCAGGCGAGGCCGGTTAGCTGCCTTCCTGGGGCAGCCAGCCAGTGCTCCGGAGCAGTCGGGGCAGATGGGCGCCCCCCACCCCCACCCCACTGGGACGGAGGGGAACAGAAGGAGAGGCTCCAGGCCTGCTGTCTGTCATGGACTGCCTGTCCCCACATTCCTGGACGGGTGCAAGTGTGCATGCATTGTGTACAGGCATAAGGTTGCGTGAGTGGGATGCACCTGTGCCCTATGCTGTGGGAAGGCGGGGAACGTGCACGTGGGCGTGAGTGCAGGTGTGTGTGCAGGCTCGGAATGTGCAGGTCTGTGTGTGCAGGCTAATCGTGCAAGTGTACCGGTCTGAGTATGCACTCACGTGTGTGTGCAGGCCTGAGTGTGCACATGTGTGAGCGGGCGTGTGTGTGGGGACTGAGTGTGCACGCGTGGGAGTGGGAGTGTGTGTGGGCCTGAGTGTGCACGCGTGTGAAAGGGAGTATGGGTGTGGGCCTGATCGTGCGCATGTGTGCGTGTGTGTGGGCCTGAGTGTGTAATGTGTGAGTTCACGTATGTGTGTGCAGGCGTGAGTGTGCACATGTGTGAGCGGGCATGGGAGGGCCTAAGTGTACACACGTGTGAGTGGGAGCATGTGTGTGTGTGTGCCTGAGTGTGCATGTGTGTGAAAGGGAGTATGGGTGTGGCCTGATTGTGCGCATGTGTGCGTGTGTGTGTAGGCCTGAGTGTGTAGTGTGTGAGTTCATGTATGTGTGTGCAGGCGTGAGTGGGCACGCATGTGTGTGCGTGTGTGCACACGTGTGTGCAGCCTCTGAGGGCACAGCCCCCTGCTTCCCTCCACTCCCACAGGCTGCCGGGGCAGAGCTCTTCCCGTCACTGTGACCCCGGGCACCCTGGCAGCCTTGGTGTCACTTAACTTCTAGAGCCAGGCTGGGGGGTTCAGTGACCACTCCGGGCCGCGCTCAGGGGACCTGCTCCTCCGGCGCCTGCAGGGCCGAATCAGGGCGAGGGGGGGGGTCCCTGACAATGGGGGGAAGGGTGGGTTGGGCCCCGTGGCTGGACTCTGTCATCACTGATTGGATGGAGGGGCAGGTGCGGAGACTTGACCCTGCTGTGCCTGTGCGTGGGCAACTCTGCACCCGCAGCTGAGGTCACTGCTGGTGGGGAGCAGCGCAGGGGACAGCCCTTGGCGGCATCCGGGGTAGAGGGGCAGGGTTGGGTGCTGGCGGTGGGGTGAGGAGGTGCTGGGAGAAAAAGCTGGAGAATCGGGGCTGGAGAGATAGCACAGCGGGTAGGGCATTTGCCTTGCACGCGGCCGACCTGGGTTCGATTCCCAGCATCCCTTATGGTCCCCCGAGCACCGCCAGGAGTAACTCCTGAGTGCAGAGCCAGGAGTAACCCCTGTGCATCGCCGGGTGTGACCCAAAAAGCAAAAAAATAAAATAAAATAAAAAAATAAAAAAGCTGGAGAATCCAGGAACACTCAGATCTCTTGGAGGGTGTACGTGGGTACTCCGGCTTCCCTTCTCTGATGGGATTTTCCTAACTTCCTCTGCCCACTGTGTCCTGGCCACAGCCAGCCCCACCCCGACCTCCCCTCCCACCTCTGCATGGCTGGACACAGTTCCCAGAGTGGGGGACGCCCCTCCCCCCACCCCCGGCCCCAGAGTCACTGGGACCCAAACAACCAAACCTGAGTTCCCAGCTAGCTTCTAAATCTAAGTATCAGAAAATCAGGCCTGAGCCAATTTTGGGTCACACCCGGCGATGCACAGGGGTCACTCCTGGCTCTGCACTCAGGAATGACTCCTGGCGGTGCTCAGGGGACCCTATGGGATGCTGGGAATCGAACCCCGGTCAACTGCGTGCAAGGAAAACGCCCTCTGCTCTGTGCTCCACGGGCTCAGAGCTTCCCACCACCCCCACCCCAGACCATGCAACCCCCGGGCCCCAGGACTAAAAGCCCCTCCCCAGCATTCCAGCCCCGAGTCCCGGGTGCCCGGCGGGGGCGGGCAGGGGCACTCACCGTGAAGAGGCAGCCCCTGTCCTCCCGGACGACGGCGCGGAAGCCCAGGAAGCCGGTGAGCATGACGAGGCCGCCGGCGAGGATGAGGATGCAGGCGGAGGCGGCGAAGGTGCTGGAGGCCAGCACGCCCAGGTAGCTGCTCTTCTCTGCCAGCGTCCACACGCCCAGCGCCAGCACGGCCACGCCCCCCGCCTGCGGGACCCCCGAGACGCGTCAGGGCTGCCCCATCTGCCCCCAGGGCTCGACCGTCCCCCGCGGGCACACACCTTCCTCTCCCGGGGTGGGCAAGCGGCTGCCACCCCCACCGCTGAGTTCTGGTCACTTGCCCTCCCGACGGATGGACGGATGCCCCGTCAGCCCCTCCCGCCTCCCTGGGGTGCTGCCTGGCTCCATCCGCGTTTTCCAGCAAAGGTGGGGAGAGGGGGCAGCAGGTCTGCCCACCCAGCTTTTTTTTTCTATTTTTGCTTTTTGGGTCACACCCGGCGATGCTCAGGGGTTACTCCTGGCTCTGCACTCAGGAATTACTCCTGGTGGTGCTCGGGGGACCCTATGGGATGCTGGGAATCGAACCCGGGTCGGCCACGTGCAGGGCAAATGCCCTGCCCTTTGTGCTAGCTCTCCAGGCCCTGTTTTTTGCTGTTTTTTTTTCTGTTGTTTGTTTGTTTGTTTTCTTATTTTGACTTTTTTCTTTTTGGGTCGATTTGCTCGAGCGGGCCCAGTAACGTCTCCATTGGAGACTTTGTTGTTACTGTGTCTGGCATATCGGTAGCTTGCCGGGCTCTCCGAGAGGGGCGGAGGAATCGAACTCGGGTCGGCCATGTTGGCCGCGTGTAAGGCGAACGCCCTACCGCTGTGCTATTGCTCTAGCCCCTCTTTTTTTTTTTTTTTTTAATTCTCCCAAGTAGAGGCTAGTGGCAGGAAGGGGTTCTGAGCATCAGGAGTTAATGTGGCCATTGTGAGCTGATACAGCTCCTGCCAAAGACCCAGGCACTGGGCGTTCTGTGGGTGCTGTCTCTCCAGAGAAACACACAAGATTTTTGCTCCCCACCAAGCTTGTCTAATGCAAGTGGGTTGCAAGCTGAGCGGGCAGGCACGGGGCGGGGGGGGGGGTGGGGGGGGGGAGGGCGTTGATCAAAAGTTCTGGAGAACCCCTTGCCCAGGGAAACAGTCACCCGCAGAGAATAACACACCCAGGGTCCGAGGTGGAAGCCTACGCTGGCACCCTGCTCCCCAGCCCCCTCGAAGCCCGGTGCTTTGGAGTCTGGCTGCACCAGCTCCCCGAGCTTGGAAAATCTAGGTCATGCCCCAGGCAACACAGAAGCTTGGAGCACCAGCCAGGAAGGAAAGTTTTACCAACTTTGAGCAGATGGGGCTGGGGATGTGTGCATGCACGTGTATGGGGGAGGGGGGTCCAACCCCGGCACCACAGGATCCCCTAAACACTGCCAGGAAGGCCCCCCAATTTTGTTTATTTATTTATTTTTTAAGAGAAAGAGAAGGTTTAGCAGAGAACCCCAGGGAAGTTTTCAAGTTTACTAAGGGGTCAAAGTGTCTTGCTCCCTCTCGCCCAGCAGGTGGCGCTGTGGGCGCCTTCCCGACGCCTTCCCGGCTGGGGGTGCAGAGCGGGATGCGCCCAGAGCACCGCCCCCCTAGGATCTGCCCTCCGGCCCGGCCTTCCTCTGTCCCTCTGTCCCTTAGAGCCTCCGTGGGAGCTTTGGGGTGCAAGGTGTGCTAACGAGGAGCACGATTTCCAGTCCGAGTTGAGGGGAGGGCGGGCTGAGCCATCTCTGGCACAGCGCACAGGCGCTGGCCTTGCACTGGCCGGGCCGGGTCTGTCCCTGCATCCCTGGGGTCCCCTGAGCCCGGTCAGGAGGGATCCTGCGAGCACCAAGGGAGAGCACCCAGTGTAGGCGGCCGGGGGTTCCGGCTGTGGCCACCTCTGTGGACTTCCGGGTCCAGGGCTGCCCACCCTAGCCTCTGGTTGGCGCCTGCGTGTTTCCAGAGTGACAGCCCTCCCCCCCCCAAAACCCCCCCCCATCCTTTCGGCCAGCTCAGGAGCCCCAGCAGGCTGGGCGCTGCACTGGAGGCAGGGAAAGAGGGAGGGAGCACGGAGGAGCCAGGAGGGATTTGGGGAGCATGGAGAGGGGGAGAGGAGGAGGGGGAGAGAGGGGACAGGAAGGAGAGGGGGTGAATGGGGGACACAGGGAAGAGGTGGGGGAGAGCAAGGGGGAGGAGAGGAGGAGAGGAGAGGGAAGAGAAGGAGGGAGAGGAGAGGGAGGGGAGGAGGGAGAGGAGTGGGAAGGGAGGAGGGAGAGGAGAGGGAGGGGAGGAGGGAGACCAAGTAGGAAGGGTGGGAGAGAGGGTGAGGGCCAGGAAGGCGCTCACTGTGTCTGGATGAAGGCCTGGGGCCACAACAGGGGGCTGGGGTGGTGGACAGGAATAAGGTGAGTCCACCTTCCTGCTGTCTGGAGGGGCCACTGGGCTCAGGTGCTGTGCCCAGGAGGCCTCAGTTCGCCAAGGGGTCCCCTGCACGGTTGGGGGACCACCATGGGCCCACTGGCCCCATCCTGGACTCATTTCGCAGGTGGTCAAGGCCCCTTGCCCCGGGGGTTTTGTGCCCCGCAGAGAGGGGCTCCAAGGAGGAGGGGGGAGGCAGGGGATGTGGGGTGCACCCTGCCCCCCGGCCCTGCCCTGGAAGGTCAGGGCAGACCTGCCCACCCCGCTTCGCTCCCCCTGGCCCCGCCCTGGAAGGTCAGGGCAGAGCTGCCCACCCCGTCTCACCCCCCTGGCCCCGCCCTGAAGGTCAGGGCAGAGCTGCCCACCCCGCCTCGCCCCCGCAGCCTGGCAGAGCTCCTGGGAGGCTGGGGAAGTTTTGATTATGAGCACAGCCAAGCAGCTAATTAAAATAATAAATTTGAGAACAACATGGCAGGGGTGGGGGGGGAGGGAGGCAGAAGCGGAGGGAGACGCTTCCGGGGAGCGGCTGCAGCCAAGCCTGGTCCCTGCTTCTCTGCGGGCGCCCCACTGGGCACAGGGAAGAAGCCTGGCGGCTGGACAGAGGACAGAGAGGCCCAGACAAGCTGCAGCCGGGGCAAGCCTGGGCAGTCAAGTCCAGGTGGGCAGTGGAGGAGACGGGGCAGTGTGCAGGGGTGGGGGTGGGGGCGGGCAGGGACTGAGAGGGGTGGACGGAGGGAGACTTTTGGTGCAGGTGGTGTGGGGGGACTGCTCTCTTCAGTCCTTCCTATGCATGACCACCCCGTGGGCACAGCCTAACCTGATCCTAATCCCAAACCCTAACCCAACCCGGCACAAAGCCTAATCCTAACCCTGAACCCGTATCCCAAACCCTCGCCCTAAACCCTGACCCACACCATAAACACAGACTGACCCTAACCCCCACCCCCAGCCCTGAACCCTAACTCATACCATGCACACAGCCTAATCTCAATCCAACCCTGACCCTTAATCCCCCTCCCTGAGCCCTGTACTTCTTCCTAATTTAACCCTAGCCCTAATCCAAGTTGAGGCTGGACCCCAGGCATATCGGAGCAGCTGGATCAGCGGTCTCCAGGCCAGGGACGAACACGGGACGCTGTGTCAGAGAACCCAGTATTGGGCCTTGACAACAGGACAGCAGGTGGGTCGCTTGCCTTGATCAAAGCCGGCCTGGGTTGGGTCCCTGGCACCCTGAGACCACCAGAAGTGTGCCCTGAGCACGGAGCTGGAGGAAGCCCCGACTAGTGTTGGGCGCAGACCCCACAAACAAACAAGGAAAGAAAAGGAAAACCCAGCCCTGGCCGAGAACAGGGCAGCTGTGTGGGTATAGCAGTGAGGGGCTTCGTGGCTCCCCAAGTGGTCACTCACCAGCAGAGGCTTCCAGGACAGCCAGACCTCTGGGCTTCTGCCCCACAGGACAGGGGAGCCAGAACCTTTCTTTCTTTCTTTCTTTCTTTCTTTCTTTCTTTCTTTCTTTTTATTTATTTATTTATTGGGCTGGAGCAATAGCACAGTGGTAGGGCGTTTGCCTTGCACGCAGCCAACATGGCCGACCCGAGTTCGATTCCTCCGCCCCTCTCGGAGAGCCCGGCAAGCTACCGAGAGTATCTCGCCCGCACGGCAGAGCCTGGCAAGCTCCCCGTGACGTATTCGATATGCCAAACACAGTAACAACAAGTCTCACAATTTTTTGTGAGATGCTACTGGTGCCCGCTTGAGCAAATCAATGAACAACGGGAGGACAGTGCTACATCTATTTATTTATTTATTTATTTATTTATTTATCTTTTGGGGTCATACCCGGTGATGCACAGGGGTTACTCCTGGCTCATGCACTCAGGAATGACTCCTGGCGGTGCTCGGAGACCTCTTTGGGATGCTGGGAATCGAACCCGGGTCGGCTGCATGCAAGGCAAACGCCCTACCCTCTGTACTATCGCTCCAGCCCCAGGACCTTTCAGACTTGGGAACGCAAACCATCCCGACCCATGAAGTGGGTTGCGTGGTTCCTAACCCACACCCTGAAACTGCAAACACAGTGTCAGGCAGGTGGGGTTCCCAGACCACCTTTTCCCAAGGTGTGAGCTTCTGACACGGTAAGAGCTGGCCCAGCAGTCTCAGGGTCACGGCCGAGACGGGGTCAGTCAAGGTGCATGTGCCCTGAGCCCATGGGCTGCTTGTGCCCAGGTGGCTGAGCCCATGGGTCGCCCTCACCCCCCTCTTGAGATGTGCACTTTCAGGCCTCCATATCTAATGCTGGGGTGTGTGGAGGGTCTCTCTCCACCTGTGCCCCACCCCCCCGAACTCATTGTTCTCTCCCTTTGCTCTCCCTCCATTCCCTTCCTTTTTGGGGGGAGAGGTCACACACGGCAATGTTCAGGGGTTACTCCTGGCTCTGCACTCAGGAATGACTCCTGGCGGTGCTCAGGGGACCCTATGGGATGCTGGGAATCGAACCAGGGTTGGCCGCGTGCAAGGCAAATGCCCTACCTGCTGTGCTATCGCTCTGGCCCCTCCAGTCCCATCCTTGAAAGCCCTTCAAGTAAAATCTGGTTTTACTTCAAAAAAAGAAAGAGAGAGAGAGAGAGAGAAAGAAAGAAGAAAGAAAGAAAGAAAGAAAGAAAGAAAGAAAGAAAGAAAGAAAAAGATAAAAGACCAGGTTAGTCAAATGCAAGGTGGTCTGGACATCTTGGTTTCGAACTTCTGGGCTTCAGAACCATGAGGTTCTGCAGAAATTTCTGCCAGCCCGTATGACCCCACAATACCACTTCTGGGAATATACCCCGAGGGTGCAAAAAAGCACAGTAGAAATGACATCTGCACCTGCATGTTCATTGCGGCACTGTTCACAATAGCCAGAATCTGGAAAGAACCTGAGTGCCAGAGAACAGAGAACTGGTTAAAGAAACTTCGGTACCTCGACACAATGGAATACTATGCAGCTGTTAGGAGAGATGAAGTCATGAAATTTACTTCTAAGCGGATGATCATGGAGAGTATCATGCTAAGCGCAATGTGTCAGAAAGAGAGGGATAGACGTAGAAGGACTGCACTCATTTGTGGAATATAAAATAGCATAATATGAGATGGACACCCAAGGACAGTAGAAACAAGGCCAGGAAGATTGCTCCATGGTTGGAAGCTTGCCTCAGGAACTGGGGGAGAAGGCAGCTGGGATAGAGAAGGGACCACTAAGTCAATGATGGTGGGAGGGATCATTTGGGATGGGAGATGTGTGCTGAAAGTAGATAAAGGACCAAACATAATAACCTCTCAGAATCTGCATATATATGCCCAAAAGGGAAATTGTCTGCCAGGGAGGCAGGGGGAGGGTGGGAAAGGGGGAGGGGTATACTGGGGAGATTGGTGGTGGGGAATGTGCCCTGGTGGAGGGATGGGTGTTCGACTACCGTTTGATTGAAACTCAAACATGAAAGCTTGTAACTGTATCTCACGGTGATTCAATAAAAATTAAAAATATTTTAAAAATTTAAAAATTATTAAAACAGGGGCTGGAGCAATAGCATAGCGGGTAGGGCGTTTGCCTTGCACGTGGCCGACCTGGGTTCCGTCCCCGGCATCCCATATGGTCCCCCAAGCACCGCCAGGAGTAATTCCTGAGTGCATGAGCCAGGAGTAACCCCTGAGCATCGCTGGGTATGACCCAACCCCCCCCCAAAAAATATTAAAACATTAAAAATTAAAAAATTTGAAAATTTTTTAAAGATTTGAAAAAAATTTCCGCTAGGGCAGCTGGGAGGGCTCTTACTTCACACGCAGTCGACCACGTGTGGTCCAGACAACACTAGTGTTGGGAGTCCCGCCAGGAGTGAGCCCTGAGCACGCAGGGTTGCTCGTACCATGGTGGCCTTCTCCGCCCCTCCCCTTCCCGTGCTCTCTCTCTGGTCCGCCATCTTCACTCCCAGACCTCATCAGCTTCACAGTGACAATGAGAGACCCATGCAGAGTGTCCCCTCCTTGCTTCTCTGCCCTTCTAAGATGCTTCCTGGGTGTCTCAGGGAGTGACAGATAACTCAAAGGGTGAATGGCGCTTTAGTCAAGGCCTTGAACTTGCCCACGGGAGGGACCCTCAACTCCTGTCTGGATAGAGGCCAAGCCTGGTCCACTCCAGGGACGGCCAATTTCCTGGCTCAAACCACTGATGGTGGGACATGAGCACTGGGGAAGGGACGGGTGTGTTGGAACGTTGAATGACTGAGACCCAATCCTGGACAACTCTGTAACTGTGTCTCTCGGGATGATTCAATAAAAACAAACAAACACACAGACACAGAAATCCAACCGTGTCCCCAGGAAGCTCAGTTGAACCCTGGAGCTGATGTTTGTTTCCGTGTGGAAAGAGGATCTTGGCAGAAGTGACCCAGTTAAGACGAGAGCGTCAAGTCGGGCACTCAGGGAGAGGGCGGGGTCCTCGTCAGAAGGAAAAGTCACACCAGGGTGGGGGGGAGCCCTGCCCACCCCCCAAGGCTGGAGGAGGCGGGAGAGTCTATACCAAGACTCTCAGGCATGTCCACCCCTTACTGCGAGGGCAAAACTGATGCCAGGACAAGCTGCAGTTAATGGAAGTCTGAGGCAGGCCTCAGTTTCTGTTTCCCAGAGACAGGACTTGCAGTTTCTGGTAAACTCCCAGTTGAGTAATGTGCCGAGATAGGGAATTGGGCAGTTGGGTCTGGCCGGTCATGAGGGGTCACTGTACCCTCCTTAGAAACTGTTACTGGGACTGGAGCGATGGCACAGCGGGTAGGGCGTTTGCCTTGCATGTAGCCAACCGGGGTTCGATTCCCAGCATCCCATAGGGTCCCCCGAGCACCGCAAGGAGTCATTCCTGAGTGCATGAGTCGGGAGGAACCCCTGAGCATCGCTGGGTGTGACCCATAAAGCAAAACATAAATAAATAAATGAATAAATAAAAAGAGACTGTTACTAACCGTTGTCTAATAGCTGACCACTGTTGTAATAGAGCCGATGTTAAAAATAGACCAATATATAAATTGCTTCTTAACTCTGAACCCTATATAAAGTGCTGGTGATTTGGAATCAGGGTCCTTGCCAAGACTCCACTGCTGAGACTCGGACCCTAGCTCGGGCTAGCACTGGCTTGGGCTAGTGATCAAGTTCCTGTGCTTTTGCATGGGGCTGGAGCGATAGCACAGCGGTAGGGCGTTTGCCTTGCACGAAGCCGATCCAGCCAACCCAGGTTCGATTCCTCCGCCCCTCTCCGAGAGACCGTCAAGCTACCGAGAGTATCCCGCCCGCATGGCAAGCTCCACGTGGCGTATTCGATATGCCAAACACAGTAACAACTTTCACAATGGAGACGTTACTAGGCCCTCTCCAGCAAATCGATGAACAACGGGAGGACGGTGACAGTGACATTGCTTTTGCATTAGCGTGTGTGGACTTGGTCTCTCCGCAGTTGGGGATCTGAAACCCAAGCACAGCGTTACCACACGGCACTCGGGGATCTGTGGAACCACCTGTAGGCCCAGAGAATCCCACCCGAACCTACCCTCTGGGTTATCCCCAGGTGGAAGGAGACCAAAGCACCAATCCCCACAACCCCCGGGGCCGGAGCGTGAGGGCAGCAGCGGGGAGGGCACTGGCCTTGCATGTGGCAGACCCGGGTTCGATCCCCAGCATCCCACAGGGTCCCCTCATCCCCTGCCGGGAGTGAGTCCTGAGGGCAGAGTCAGTAGCAAGCTCTGAGCATCGCCTGATGTGACCTAAAGCAGAAATCCAGGGGCTGGAGCAATAGCACAGCGGGTAGGGCATTTGCCTTGCATGAGGCTGACCCGGGTTCGATTCCCAGCATCCCATGTGGTCCTCTGAGCACTGCCAGGAGTAATTCCTGAGTGCAGAGCTAGGAGTAACCCCCAAGCATCGCTGGGTATGACCCCCCGTTCCAAAAAATAAAACCAAACCAGAAAAAACAACAACAACCAGAAATCCACACAGTCCAATGTCAAGCCCTTTGGGGGGCAGTTATAGGGAACTCAGGTGGGGCGTCTCCTCCAGGATGGGGGTCCCCAGTGGGAGGTGCTCTGGGCTCCTAGCCCATCTCAGGCCCCTTCTCCCCCAGTTCTCGCGTCTTCTCAGTGGCTATGTGGGAAGCTGGGATGACTTTGGGGGTCGCGTGCCCCAGGAGACTCAGAGCGACAGGAAGAGCTTCGGGGGAGACAAGCTCACAGCCGGGGGGTGAGGCATCCCCTCCCAGACACCCTGCGTCTGTGTCTGACCCAGGAGCCCAGAGGAGGGGAGCAGACCGGGGGCGGGCGTGCCGACTCACCCAGAAGAAGAAGTTGAAGACGAAGAGTAAATACTTCAGGTAGACCACGAGCCAGTCGTCCTGCTCCGCCTTGTCCTGGGCCATGGCTGTGGGGGAGACAGGCAGGCCAGGGTTAGGGCAGGGTCCACAGTAAGCTGCCTGCACACCCTCTCCTCGCCAGCATGGACGGCTGCGGGCCCCTGCGGGTCTGGGTCAGCAGATGGACTCCCAGAGCTAAGCCCAGGAAAAGTGAAGGCCCCGGGGCAGCCTTGGGAGGGAGCAGGGTGGGATTGGGGCCCTGAGGGGCTGGGTTTTATGTTTCAATCATTTATCAGTTCTAGGGTCACACCTGGCAGTGCTCAGGGTTAGTCCTGGCTCTGTGCTCAGGGGTCACTCCTGGTGGGGCTCAGAGGACCATCTGGGGGGCCAGTGATGAAATCTGGTTGGCCGCGTGCAAGGCAAGTGCCCTGCACGCTGTACTCCAGCTCTGAGCCCTGAGTTCGGTGCTCTGGGTGTCGGCCTCATCCATAGACCCCTCCTCCCCCCCTCCCCAGCACTGGCCTCGCTGGGGTCCGACCCTTTCCTTGTCCAATCAGTGGTGCCAGGCACAAGCCAACATGCCTTCCCCACACCCCCAACATGCACACACACACACACACAGAAATACACACACAAGCACACGCACATACAAACACACACGAGTGCACACACACATGCACGCACCCCATCCCCCAACATGCACACACATGCGCACACACAGAAATGCACACACATGCACATGCACATACAAACACACATGTGTGCACACACACATGCACACCCCCCAACATGCACACACACGTGCACACACAGAAATGCACACACATGCACACGCACATACAAACACACACGAGTGCACACACATGCACGCACCCCATCCCCCAACATGCACACACACGCGCACACACAGAAATGCACACACATGCACACGCACATACAAACACACACGTGTGCGCACACACACACACACATGAATCACAGCAATCACCGGTGCAGGGCACAAACATGCTCTTCTCTCTCTTGTTCACATGTATACTTGCATGCACGCACACACAACCATCAGGGGCAGGGCCCAGGCTGACCTGCCCCTCCCCCTCCCTCTCCCCACCTCTCCCTCCCTCCCACCCTCCCTCTTCTCTCACTCCTCTCTCACTTCTCTCTCCCTCTTCTCTCTCTCCCTCCCTCCCTCCCTCCCTCCCTCCCTCCCTCCCTCCCTCCCTCCCTCCGGTCTCCTTTTCTCTCTCCCCCTCTCTTTCTCTCTCTCCCTCTCTCCTCTTTCTCTTGTGCACACACACACAGCACCCCTTCCTTGCACGGGGGTCCCGTGTGCTCTTCCAGGAGCCTCTGCTCCCACAGAGGCGCGAGCCCCCGCTTACAGCACCTCTGCACTGCACAGGACCTCCACGACCAGACGAGACTGTCCCCTCCCCTGTCCGCTCCCTGCCCCCCAGCCAGGCACCTCAACTGTCCAAGGAAGATGGAGCAGGAAGACCGGATGAGGGGCTTGGGTGGGGGGCGGCAGGGTGCGGGCCACGGGGGTGGGGACGGGGGCCATGGGGCAGGACACACCAGGAAGTCCCCAACCTCACGGATGGCGCAGTGGGAAGAAGGTTGTCGCAGGTTGGACCCCCACTGGGAGAGAGTCTGGGGTCCTGCTGGGTGCGGCCCCTGGGCACACGGCGGCACAGTGGATCAGAAACCAAGACTCCCGCCCTGATTGGCTCAGAGACTGGGGGTGGCAGGGGCTGAGCCCCGGGACCCTGCTCACTCCTCACCGAGCCCAAGACAGGCGAGAGCAGCATTTCTTTCCCCACCCCCACGTTTTGTTGTTTGTTTGTGTTGGGCCACACCGGCAGTGCTCGGTGCTGACTCCTGGCTCAGTGCTCAGGGGTCGCTCCTGGGAAGGGGAGCTCGGAGGACCCTATGGGGATGCTGGAGATGGAACGTGGGTCAGCCGCGTATAAGGCAAACGCCCTGCACCCCCATGCCATCTTTCCAGTCCCCAGAGGTCAAAGGACCCCTGCCCCCCACCCCGCGGGGCCCCAGGAAATTCCAAGGTGGTCACTGGGGGAGACTGCATCAATTAGAGGGGGGGCGGAGGGACAGGACAGAGGGGCCACAGGAAGTAGACAACAAGGTCTGAAGGGGAACAGCTCGGGGAAGGTTGATGATACTGAACAGAATGCCAGACCCCGCCCCTCTGCTCAAGGGGTCCAGGTGCCCCGGGACCAGCACCCCCCCCCCCCCCAAGCTGCTAAGAACCTGCTCCCTCTTTCATTCCAGGGCCTTCAGCCACCGGGTGCTGGTTGACCTATTTCTAGGTCTTTCTCCTCCCCTCCTCCCCTGCAGGGCCCCTCAGTGCTCCGGCTGCCTCCTCCCCTCCCCTCCCCCCCCACGGCCATGCCTCCCTGCACCCCCCCACCCCTCCCCATCCCAGGAACTTCCTCCGGGCCCAGCTCTGCCTTTTTATTTCAAGCTCAGGAGCTTGTGAGCCAGAGAACGAGGAAGCCAGGAAAGGAAAAAGGTGGCTGTCTGATTTGGGATTTCTATTCGCAGACCTTGAGGAGGCAATTTAAGTCTTCTTGTTAAAAAAAAAAGAAGACAAACCCCATTTTTCTCCAATTGTGCCTGAGAGGCAAGGGTGGTGGAAAAACACAGGGGGAAAAAAAGGCAGCCTGAAAGAGGAGAGAGAGAGAGAGAGAGAGAGAGAGAGAGAGAGAGAGAGAGAGAGAGAGAGAGAGAAAGAGGAGAGAAAGAGAAAGAGAGAGAAAGAGGAGAGAGAGGAGAGAAAGAGAAAGAGAGAAAGAAAGAAGAGAGAGGAGGGAAAGAGAGGGAGAGAGAAAGAGAGAGAGAGGAGAGATGAGAGAGGAAGGGAGGGAGGGAAGGAAAGAGGGAGGGAGGGGAGAAGAGTAGTTCTGGATGGTTTGGGTGGGATCAGGAGGAAGGAAGGGGTCATTCAGCAGGGGGCTTGGCCAGCCACCCTGGGAGTAGACCTGTTGGGGTCCCAGGACCCTCTCTGCATCCATCTCCCTTTGCAACCCCCTTCCCTGCTGGGGCTCACTGGATTCAAACCATGGAACTTCCAGTCCAGCAAGCCAATGGGATGAACAACCTCAAAAGAAAAAAAATAACTGGAAAAAAAGAAGGTCACAGTGTTGAGACATTTTGGGCCTCACAGGATGGGGGTGGAGTCGGTCCTGTCCTCCCCACCCCTACGAGACCCCAAGTCATCGCTCACGAACGGCCTTTCTGGCTCCTGATCAAGCTGCTTAATGGCCATGATCCCAGAGACTCAGGAGCAAACCTTGGAACCCAGCAGGTTTTGGCAGAAACCCCTCCAGATTTAAGTGTTAAAATTTTGGAATTTCAAAATCGCGCGGTCACTACTGCAGCCACACGACATCATATGTTATTCATAACCAGCAATAGAACACAAATTGTCTACTGTTGCCTTTTCAGCAGATCTGAGTGTTGGGGTAAAATCTCAAATAATAATGGTGGGTCTGGTGTCAAAATATTGAATGTGATCAAAGTAGAGAGAGAGAGAGTAATGTGGAAATCATCTGCCCCACAGGTAGGGGGAGGGTGTGGGATGGGGGTAGACTGGGGTTTTTGGTGGTGGAGAATGGGCACTGCTGAAGGTACGGGTGTTTCATTGTATGACCGAGACTTAGACCCGAAAGCTTTGTAACTGCTCTCACAATGATTCAATAAATAAAATTATTTACAAAAATAAAAAAAAAGGTCAGGGGTCTGGAACTATAATACAGCAGGTTGGGAGTTTGCCTTGCATGCGACCAACCCAGGTTTGATCCCCGGCACCTCCTATGGTCCCCAGAACCCCACCAAGAGTGATCCTGAGGCGCAGAGCCAGGTGAGCCCTGAGCACAGCCAGGGATGACCCAAGGAATGCCCCCACCCCCCACTCTCGCGAGAATGAACGAGTAAATAAATACATAAAGGGAGTCTGGCAGAAGATAGGATTGACCCCCCCAGAGGAATATAATTTCAGGGCTGGAGTGTAAGCACAGCAGGTAGGGCATTTGCCTTGCATGCAGTCAACCCAGGTTCGATTCCCTGCATCCCCTAGAGGCCCCCGAGCACCGCCAGGAGTAATTCCTGAGTGCAGAGCCAGGAGGAACCCCTGTGCATTGCCAGGTGTGACCCCAACAAGAAAAAAAAAGTTCTTCTAACATTTTAGCCACGAGTGGCAGAGAAGTAAGGACCCCCATGAGGTCCAGGTGGAGGGACATTTTCACACTCAGCTCGGCCTTTTGCAGAGGGAATGCGGGGTTTGTAAGGCCCCAGGGCAGGAGCCGGCAGAGAGCACGGTGGGATGCCAAGCGCCAGGCACACACCGACCTGGTGTGATTCCAGGCACCACAGGGTCCCCCGAGCATCGCCGGGTGCAGCCCTGAGCCTCCCGTCCTGCAGGGGTGTCCAGTGCGACCCCGGCACACTGAGCCCGGCCAGCACCAGCCCCCCAGACCCAAGCATTGAACCCACTGCACAGCCTGACCCACACCCCATCCCTGTGTTCACTGCAGCACTGATCACAACAGCCGGAGCCTGTGAGCAACCGCGTGCCCAGAACAGGCGACCGGCGAAGAAACAAGGGCACATGCGCAGTCCCCAGGAAAAATGAAGTCATGAAATTCGCTTATAAATGGACGGACGTGGAGAGTATCACGCTGAGGGAAGTGAGTCAGAAGGCGAGGGACAGACATAGAAGGGCTGCACTCATTTGTGGGATATTTTAAAAAGGACAGGAAGATAATTAATACCCAAGGACGGCAGAAGCAAGAGCCAGGAGGACCGGTCCATCGTTGGAAGCTGGGGGGGGGGGGGAGGAGCAGGGCAGGGAGGGCAGCTGGGACAGAAGGGCCCACGGGGACAGGGCTGATGGGGATGGCCACTCTGGACGAGAGCGGAGTGCTGGAAGGAGGGAAAGGGACAGACAGGATGGCCCTTCAGTGTCTGGAATAACGCAAACCACAGTGCCTAGGAGAGAGACAGAGACAGAGACAGAGACAGAGAGACAGAGAGAGAGAGAGAGAGCGAGACAGAC